AAATAATAGCTTTTAAAATCGCGTATCTCGAGAAGGGCGACAATAAAAAACTTAACGTTAATTATAATATTTATTAGCTAAGTAGAAAATAATAAGGTTAAAATATTCTTTCTATAATTATTATTGCTTTATTAAATAAGAAAAAAATCTTAAAAGGTTTTCGTTATTTAAAAAATATTACGTGATAATATAAACACGTTAAATAATTCTTAAAGTCAAAAATATTTTTTCGAAAAAAAATTTTAATTAAGAAAAAAAAGGTCACGTGATTGTGCTAGCGCTTCGGCGTGACTTTAAATAGTATTAAAAGCGTCGCCGCGATGCGAAGCGATTTTTTTTTTAATTTTTTACGCGCGAAATAAAATCATCTCGGGAAGGGCGAACTTGCGTTCGCCCTTCCCGAGGTGCGTGTACTGTTAAGGAACCTTTTTCTATGCCTAGCTACGAAACGCTAAAGGCAAGCTTGGAGTGCCAATGGAAGAATAATGGAGCTCTTGCTAGCGAGGACAGGTCCAAATACCCTGGACGTATAACCGCCGAGGAAAGGCAACTTAAGGGGAGGTTGCTAAGGGATTGGAGCCGCTCGCATACGGCGGAAAAGTGGGTTTGGCCGTAGCCTTCGCGCTGCTGGAGGCTGATTGAAGCTTCAAAACCGTATTGGCGCTTTCAAGGGGGAGGAAAGCAGTATAAGGAACGGGACGCTTATCTCAATTGCGTTAATTATTTTGTTTGGGCTGCTCTTAAGGGGTGGAGGTTTAAGTTGATGAGTCTATGCGACGGCAGGCGGACCTACCTTGCACTCTGCCTTAAGGGCTATTGGCTATTGCCACTTTAGGAGGCTCGTTGCAGCTTACTGGCGCTGACTTGCTCCTGTCAATTCCTTTTTGCCTTGCTTGCTTGTTTGGAGCTTGTAAGCTCCGTCTATCTTTTAGCTAGATCTTCTTTTGATTTTTGATTTTCTTTCTTTCAGGCGACCTTTTTATCAGTTGAGCAGTAGCTTCACAACTCAGACCCCACACTAGAGAGGGGTAGCTATGGAGTCGCTTAATTGCGGGACTACCAGTTAGCGTGGGACAATGTAAGCAAATCGATATACATAAGTCTCCTGGAGCTTCCAGCTTCTTCTTCCTCTCCTCACTTGTATACTAAGGTCAGAATATACACAGTTCGTTACAGGAGTTGGGGATCCTTAGAAACATGCTTCGCTAAGGGAAACATGCCCATCTCTAAAGCAAACCGGGTCGATAATACCAAACCGATACTTACTCCGTAGCTTGCGGAAGGCCGTAAGTTTTAGCTTGCGGCGAAGCTGGAACCTTCACATCCTCTTTGTATGATTTTCAAAGGTATTTCATATACGAAGTAATATAGCGTTGATATTCAAGGCCTCGGAAGGCAGCCTTTTACAGGGGATAGTAGTAAAGCGAGGTCCCTGGCCCCGGAGCTTGCGGAAGGCCGCCGAAAAGGACCTCGTCTAACCCTGTGGAAGATCAACCATAATGAATCAGGATTGCGCAGACACTCAACTCGCCTGACATATAAGGTAATCCTTGCCCTTGTATTGTGCAGGCTTGGGAACCTGGGGAAACTTGGGGAAGTGGGGTACTATCATGTACCCCACTCAGAATCAGATATAAACATATTTTCGATCATCCATGACCGGGCACCTACATCGTGGCCATGATACACTTGCTTCAATCCAGGTTCCAATACAGGTTCTAATATTGCTTCAGTAAGGTCACTCACAGAAACAACTCTTGCTTCGTTTGGAATCCCTTTTCGACTAGCTTGGACAGATCATCCACACATCACTTTAGAAAATACCTACCATGTCTCGACAAAGCGTTCCTTTAGGGATAGAAGCTTGTCGGAGAGATAGCATTCATTATGAGATGATGCGAAAGCGATATCACAACGGCTTCATTCCAAATCGATACCCCGCCGAGATTCTCATCCCGTCTTGTGTTGAGGATGTTGCGGCAGCCATGAAGAAAGCTTCACAAGCAGGTACGAAAGTTGGCGTCCGTTCAGGAGGGCATCAATGGACCGCGTCAGGTATGCTCCAAGATGGCATTCTTCTGGACATGCAGAACGTCAATCACGAAATCATCTATGATGCCAGTACAGAAACAATCACATTTGGCCCGAGCTGCAATGGCCTCGAGATGTCGAAGGCGATGCTTGATATCGGTCGGTTCTTCCCTCATGGCCATACGGGCACTGTGTCACTGGGTGGTTTTCTGGCCGCGGGTGGTCAGGGCTGGTTTTTCCGTGGTTGGGGCCTGACTTGCGAGTCCTGGATCCTCCAGATCGAAGTGGTGACGGCGAATGGGGACATCCTGATCTGTAACGGGGAACAGAATGCCGACCTCTTCTGGGCCGCACGAGGAAGCGGCCAGGGCTTTTTCGCAGTGGTAACCAAATACTGGGGTCGGACGATTCCTGCGCGTCAGCTTTACCAGTCGCAGCTTGTCTTCCATGGATCGGATGGATTTGAAGAGATATTGGACTTCCTGATGCAGGCGAATGATGCAACACCGAAGGAGGGCACCGACACCGCATTGGTAACTTTCTACCCCGACAAGTACATCCCATCCGATAGGGAAGATATAAAAGATCGCTCAAAACTCGTGATTGCGCTGGCCGCTACCGCCTATACTGATAGTCTTGAGTCAGCCCAGAAGATGCTTGCCGCATATAGCGAAGCGAGGGTGCCTGAGCGCTTGAAGAAGTACCTGGCGGCCGCAGAGAAGACGCGGCATATAACGTGGGGAGATCTGTTCAAGGATCAAGACGGAATGGTTCCACTTGACAACGGAGAGAGATGGCAGTGTGGTAGTATTTTGACCGATCCAGCCCGGTCTCGAGCCGAGGTGAGTTGCCCTTCTCTCGGGTCGCAAGGCCATATTCTCACCCAGACTTTGACTGACGTGAGAATTCTCGTAATGCAGATCATCAAGGCCATCAAGCCAGCCATGGTTGATTTGCCAACCCGGCAGTCCACCGGTTGTTTTGTATTTGCCGACATCGGTCCAGACGAGAAGCACCAAGCTGCCAGTCTCCCACAAAAGTACTACGTTGCGAGTATGGTCTGCTGGAAAGATACACGAGAGGATGCCAAGATGCACCAATGGCTGGCGCAGGTGAACGACGCCATGAAGCACGTCGCTCTTGGTGTGTACGTGGCCGACTTCAACCTCCAGTTCCCGGTTAAGAAGGTACGTTTGCTATGTGTGCGAGAAAAGGAAAGGGACCTCTGGCTAATACATGTTGAAGGTTATCTCGGATTCTGCGTTTGCAAGATACAGTCAATTGCGCAAGAAGTGGGACCCGAAATCACTGTTTCAAGGGTTCAGAGGTTTGAATTCCGATGCTGGGGATAGTTTATGGGTCGCAAATCCTCGGTTGTAATTTATAAACATGTTTGAAATATAAGATTTTCCCTTAGGGTTGATGCTCTTCATTACCGGTTTGCTCCAGTGACCTAGAACAAACAATGCATAAGGGCTCATTTCACACCAAAACTTGTCTATTCGAGAGCTTTCACTGTTTTTGAAAATTACACATCTTTAAATAAATAAGAATGGCTCATAATTATGAGCCGGTCTTATTCTGCATTATTATTTAAAAAAGTTAACTAAAACAGAAAGTGTAGAAAGTTGGCTTTCGCTTAATATCTAGAGTTAACTCCGCAAATTTTGGAAAGGCTAGAAGAGAGTTTTTAAAAGGGGGCGATTTCTGCCACTATGTTATGCATATACGTAGTAGCTCTACAGTACGTAATAAGTCGATTCAAGCTCTATGGTCAATGAACAACGGTCGATTATTTCCCATGCTTCGAAGAAAGTGGAGTTGTATTTCCCATGCCTCAACCCACTTTTTGAGTGGGCCCGCCCAGCCAAATCTACTCGCTGCTTTATACATGGGAAATACAACTCCCCTTTCTTCGAGGCATGGGAAATAATCGACCATGAACAACTTCCCCAAGGTGGACTTAATATACTCTAGCTAATGTGGATTTTCTTAAAGTGTTGACCCAAAGTTTTGGTGCGAAAAAGGCTTTCATGCATTATAACATTGTTAGTCCTGTTAAAACAGCTGCTCCCGATTCTAGCACAGACACCAGCTATCGTGAGCTGACCAATATACTAACTATATTTGAAGTCTGCTGCGTGCCCAATCGAGCGTAAATCAATATTCCGCCTTTCAACGCTATTCCTGCTGTCAACAAGGGGGCTACGATTCTTTACTTATACGAGGTGCCTTTTACGAACCTTCAGCTCTTTTTCTTTCTTTCTCTTGCGGTAGAAAGAGAGATAAAGAGTCTAAAGAGCCGAAATTGAATCATCGATATGCGACGTCTCTTCGAAAAGATTTTCTTTTACCGGCGATTCCGAACCTCCTTCTTCCTTCTTGAATACTACGCCGACTACGATCTATACTTAACGAGCATACCGATTGAAAAGACTAAGAGGATTTGCGATAAAAAAAGAACGTATATAAAAGATAAAATAAAAAAGGCTTAGTTCGATTGATCAAAAACACGGTATTGCGCTTTCGAAATAGCGTTTTATAAACACACCGGCTTTATTTAAAAGCTACGAACGCGAGCTTTCTTAGCTTTACGACGAAAGAGAACGATGTTTGTATTATACGGATCGAGGCCGCTCGTAAAGCTACACGTATTCGACAGTTATCGAAAGAAAACTCGACGCATATCACTATGAATTGCTTTTAAAAGGTTTACAAGTGTCTAGCTATTTAACGAGAGGTTTTCTTTAACGTGGTTTTTACTCTCGATTAGATAATACTTTGTATATAATTCCTTTACTTAGCACGTCGCCGTACCTTATAAGAGATCCCTAGAGTCTAAGCATTGCGTTTTGGATACCCGCCCGACGTTAATAAATACAACAACAACAAATCCTGCTGTCAACAGCCCGACTTGCCGGGGAGAATGCATACACGCTTAAGCAGCTTACTCAGCTGATTATCGGCCCGTTGTATGGAATTCGGACGGCCCGAGGTAGAAAAAATACGACGTGATCAAGGTGAAGTACTACGTATTAGTTTCGGGTCATTTTCGGCTACAAAAACATAATCCAAAAAAAAGAGGAGCAAAAGCCAAACTTGAGAATCTGGGGATCTCTTTTAAAAGTGCTTGGTCATCGTGACCAAAGCCTGATTTGGATGGCTAGAATGTACAGCACTAGGCAGGTGTCATTGTAGACACGCAATGCTCTATCCCGAGCACTCAATTGAAGCTACGATATGAAATCTAAGGGCATCATACATACATACTTCATGATCAAAGGATACTTTAAACTCCTTTTTCTATGAGGCTAAACCTTCTTTTTGATTGATGTATATCCCATCAAATAAATAAAGGCAGTGGTTCTTGGCAATATTTCTTGAGCTGACCATCTGATCTCATAGAAATCCCTTCCCCTAAGAGCTATCATCATTCGCTTCTACCTCTACTCCGTTAACATCCTTATCGATATTACTCCGCCATGGCCAGGTCGTCAACGACGACCGGCGATGATGGCCATATGGAGACCTGCGGCGGCGGCAACAGCACGGAGAGCAACAGGGTCATCCCGCTGTTTAGTATCCATAGCGAGCATCCCGTTGTCGCCCCGAAAAGCTCGCAAGCAAGCTCTCAGCGAGACAGGTGCAGATGATCGCCATCGGCGGCACAATAGGCACCGGTCTCTTTCTCGGAACGGGGAAATCGCTCGCGACAGGCGGTCCGGCCTCGATTCTCATCGCCTATGCTATTGTAGGGGGTATGGTGTTGTTGACGATGCTCACGCTGGGAGAGATGGCGGCGTATGTGCCCATTGCGGGATCTTTCGGTACTTTCGCCGGGAGGTATGTCGATGATTCTCTGAGGTTTGCGCTCACGGTAAGTGCTGGAGGAGACGGGTCGAAAGACCGGGAGTCCTTGCTCTGAAATGATTGTGGGAATGCAGTGGAATTACTGGCTTAATGATGCCGTTTCCACAGCGGCCGACTTGGTGGCTCTCCAGATTGTGTTTGGGTACTGGGAGACGAATTTCCCCAGCTGGGGACTCAGTCTTATCTTCTGGGTCTTTCTTGTCATCGCGAATATCTTTTCGGTCAGAGCATATGGTGAAGTCAGTGGATCATGCATATCCATTCAGCTGTTAGCCAGACACTAAATTTCTGCAGCTTGAATACTACTTGAGCCTTTTAAAAGTCGTCACAATTACCGTAAGCAAAGTCCTCCTATCCTGCGTCAGAGCTATCCACATACTGACTGCAGTTAGATCTTCATTATCCTAGGAATCGTCGTAAACTGCGGCGGCAACACGGAGCACAGATACATCGGAGCCAGCAATTGGTACATGGGCGATGCTCCCTTTGTAGGGGGAATTGGCGGATTCGCGTCCGTCTTCGTAACGGCTTCATTCGCCTGTACTGCCCACACAACCCATTCCTTTCTCTACTTGTCTGACACGATACAGATGGCGGCACGGAATCCATCGCCATCACAGCAGGCGAGATCCAAAACCCCATCAAGAACCTCCTCCGCGTTGTCAAAAACGCGTTCTGGCGCATCCTCCTATTCTACATAGTTTCCGTGCTCCTCATCGGCCTAAACGTCCCCTACACCTACCCCAACCTGTCCAACAAAGGCTCTTCCACGTTTGTTTATTACCCAGTATCTTTTATTAGCGAAGTACGGTGTTTGTTGTACCGTAAACTTTCGCCGCTTTTCATTTTCTGCAGCGAATGCACATACTCAGCTCTGCCTCCCGATGGCGAGAAGCAAGGTAGATGAAGCCTATGATTATGTTTATCTTTGACTGCTCTTACAGTCCGAAGGGTCCTGAGACGTAACCCATATACTAGGTACTTGTATAGGTCCGGAATTCCTCGGGCTCCCGACATTTGCAGAGCCAGCATATCCTGACGAATTAAAAGGAAGAAAACTGGGCTTTGATCAAAATGTGCTCATGCCTATCCCTGTGATTGTCGGTAAGGCCGATAGAGTTTATCAATACGCGATACGCATTGAAACTTTATCGCCGTCTCATGTCGGATCCACAAATTCCCCCAGCTCTCCTGAAGTATATTATTCAATAATAGTCTTCATATGCCCCCCATGAGATAACCGCAAAAGACAAAAGCAAAAATAACCATAACCAAAATATCACCAACAACAACAACAACAAGAACATCATTAATATATTTTACCTCTCTACATTCCAACCATCTCGTGAGAAGAAAATTGGCGAAAAAATAAAAGAAGAAAAGAAACTGCCAACATCCACCATGCCCTCCCAACTCACCCACATCTCTCTCATCTACCGCCTCTACTTCCTCTATTGGGAGCCCTTCAGCGCTCTCGCCGGGACCTACCTCGCCTTCTTCGACCCGCAGCGCCTCCTGCGCGGCACCGTTCCCCTGCCGGCCTACGAGCACTTCGCCAACCCAGCGACGCAGACCCTCGACATCTCGCCGGTGCTGCAGATGGCGCTGACCAACATCGGGTCGCTGTACGCGCTCTTCGCTGTCAACGAGGGCATCGTGCTGCGGCTCACGCGTGATCGACGCATCTGGTGCACCGTCATCCTGGGCATGGTCTGCTCGGACGTCGGCCACATCTATGCGGCGTGGAAGGTCTGGCCGGAGCGGTTGGCGCTCGGGGAGGTGCTGAAGTGGAATTCGGACGAGTGGATTAACTATGGGACGTTGTTTGCTGGGTTGGGGTTGAGGATTTTGTTCTTGTTGGGGTTTGGGAGGAGGTGAATGGGCAGGGAGGAAGGATGAGGGAGGAGTGGAAGAAGAGGAGAGAGGGAGGAAACCAAAATGAGAGAAGGATTTATTTACATTAGGAGGGGGGGAAGCAGAGGGAGAAATATAGGAGGCGAGGATCACGTGGGCTCTGTTGAGATTCAAATTCGATAGGGCTTGGAGGAAATGGATCAAACGTATTCTTCTTTGTATGTGCGAACTGCATGTTGTAATCATATTGAATGCTATTGATTCATAAATTAACTGCCTCTGCTCTCCCATGCGAAAACTAATCAATCTGTACATGCGTTGAACGCCATGCATGCCATGCAGACTTTGCTCCCCTCCCGTGCCCCTAAGAAATGAAAAGGAAAGTGGGAAAAAAACAAAAACAAACAAACAAACAGATTCCGACGCGATATATGCAATGCAGTCTATACACCTTCTTCGATCCAAGTTCTCGCTTATAGCATCCGCACTCTATCTTCACAGCCCCGAGTCATCTTTCGTCGGCGGTCGCGAGTTATACCACGACTCCCACGCCTTGCAGTTCTCATCAATCTTGCCCAACCCATTTATCATCGCCCCGGGGATATCCTTCTCCCTCTCCAAAAACTGGATCGCCAGCCCCTCGCTGACATGCCAGGCGATGTGGCAATGCATCAACCAGGCGCCAGGGTTGTCGGTCTCGAAGGCAACGACCAGCCAGCCGTAGGCCGGCAGCATGACGACGTCCCGCCGGGTCGGGCTCTCGAAGTTCAGGGCGTCAATGTTCGAGGCGTTGAAGTAGGCCGGGCTCTGCGTCCCGTTGACCGGGGCCGGCAGGTCGGCGGGGGTCGAGACGCCGAGGACGTACATGTCGTGGCCGTGGAGGTGGATCGGGTGGGGGGCGAAGCCCGAGTTCTGGACCACCCAGAAGGTGTAGATGTCGGCCTGGGGGATCTCGATGATGCCGAGGGCCCTCTGGGCCTTGAAGGCGTCGTTCCCGTCGGCGATGTATCGCAGCGTGGGCTCCTCCCACTTGACGTTGATCGAGTTTCTGATCCCTCGTTAGATGGTTCAAGTTACAAAGGAGGGAGGCGAGGTAGATGCTTACCCGTTGATGGTCCAGAAGAAAATCTGCTGTTCGTTCTGGGTGAGACCCACGGTCAACGTGCTGGTGCCGTTGAAGCCGTATACCTTCTCGAACTCGGATCGCGGGACGCTCTTCTTCAGGACGGGCTCGAGCTGGGACTCGTCGACACATCCTGGAGTGTATGTTGCGTTCGTGACAGTCGTGGGGATCTTGAGTGGGACATTCTTGTAGTTGAAGATGGCGAGGATCTGTCCATTGTTGGCGTTGTTACCACAGCCATTTTGGACCTCGGCGCGGAGCCAGTAGTTATCCGGCTTTGCCCCTGCGGTGAAGATAACATCGTATCTCTGTCCGATACCGACGAAGATCCAATCGGTGGTGTAAGGCACAATGGGGATGAAGTCTGCTTGGATGACGGTGAACTGGTGGGAGTCGAGAGACACCATGAAGGCGTTATCGATGGAAGTGTTGATCAGACGAATTTTGTACTTTTTTCCGGGAACGAGATTGGTGGTGTTGAAGTAATGTCCACCCGTCTTCGTCGCGTTCATATTGACTCCGTTGATCAAGCCGTTATCTGGTGTCGGTGGCCCAACTTTCCCAGGAATGACAATCTCTCCCCTCGAAACCTTCGCGAGTTCGGTCATCTGGCCATAGTAAAAATCGGTCAGAGCGACTGGGCCGAGATCAACGTCGTAGTCTGCTGAAGATGGCCCGTTGATGACCATCGCTCCAACAATCCCATCGCCGTATTGATTGGAGAAATGCGAGTGGTACCAGGTCGTTCCAAATTGAGTCGCCCTGAACCTGTAGGTGCGGGTGCTTCCAGGCGGGATAGGACATTCAGTGACGCCGCCCACACCATCTTCGGTATTGGTGCCGACTTGCGTGAAACCGTGCCAGTGGATGGAAGTTCCATTGTCTTGCATGTGGTTTGTAACCTCGATCTGAAGCATATCACCCCAGTCTAAGTATTTTTGTCAGTAACATTTCCCAATATATATACACTTATAAAGAGCAAGAAACGTACCAGCAGTGATGACAGGGCCAGGATATTGCCCATTGACAACCAGCATTTGTCGGGGCCTTCCGTCGGGCGACAAGGTCTTGTTGGTGATCTCCAGCTTGTAACGAACAGTCTTGTCCGTCTTCGGCCAGTGCATCTCAGAATCCGTCGCCACGGTGTAATCCTGGATCCAACAGGCTCTTGAAGTGGGTGAGTTTTTGCACTTGGTGTTACTCCATCCTCCATCCTTGCCCCCATGGTAGTTTCTGTTTGGGTTGTCGCCCCATCCTTTGCCCTTGTGCCAGCCTTGACCGTTGTGTTGGCCTCTTTCAGCCAGGAGAGGCTTTAGCCCTGGGATTTTAGCTGCTGATCCAAGTCCAAGTCCGAGGACTAGGAGACTCGAAAACGATATACCAAAGAGCATGTTGAATGACGGTCGTCCACGGTCCAACTGGACGTTGAAGAGATTGAGTATAGGAGTGATGGGGATAGATAGACAGGCCTCATAGATAGAAAGCAGGATAGCGAGTGACGATGATGGAATGAGAAGTTATGCCACTATGATGTAGAGTCTGGACGAAAGCTCTAATGACAAAGGGAATGGAGGCGTCTTATATAGAAATACGTGATACTATACGGACAATGGTCACACGGAGCCAGGAACGTCTGCTTCTGGTTGCCAACGAAACATGAGTCTAGTTTTCCTTAGATGCAGAAGCTCACATCAGATGCATGGCCAACACAACACAGCCTTTCCTCCACCAACTCTTGTGATACAATGTACTGGCTTGGAACTATTCCGAGGAGGTACAACGCCCGCTAGCGAAGGCTGCGGTGAGGATAGCTCAAAGCATGAATCTGGAAGGGTTGCATACTTCAGCTGCAGGCTTGTTGTATTATAATGTAGATATAATAGGCAGACCTCGGCCCGATACTCAATAATATCTGGAATGACTTAAGACAATATCAAAAGTCCAAAAATTTGGTATGATGCACCAGAGAAGTATCAATTTCGTATACCAGATGATCCTATATGCTCGACTATTCGGATTAAGCGAGACGATTCGGAATCTGATAATGGGCTCAAAATAGATGGATTCAAATCTTCCAAAATCCAGGGCACTATCCCGACTATTCTCAGATCCATCCTCGCGATAGCAAACAAATATTGAGTCCACCGCCCCGGCCTGGCCTGCCCACAAGGCTGAAGTGAGAGCAGCAAGGATGGGGAAGACCGCGGATGCGGTTGGCTCCTAGACCGAGCAGAGGTAAGACGGTACTCCGTATGCAAGTCTGACAAGCGCATCGGCTCATAGCGATCAATCTATAGGGCTGCCACGCGACAGCTTTGATTATGAGCCTCGTTAAGGAAAAAGAAAAAAAGTGTGAGTGCCGGTGCTTTCTTTTCGTATAGGCAGCCGAATGACATACAGGTAATAACAGGTAGTAATAAATAATATGAATGACTCGTGTTGATATTTGCCGAGTTTCCTCGCTAAGGACAAAAACAAATGCGCTTGCTAGGTTGACACTTGACAACAGGAGCATGATCCAAGATCCAGATCCTTGCACGCGGGGGCGCAATAGCTACGCAGTCGGAGGCTGACTCTTAAGGCTGGCTGATAATATGTATTTTTGGATGCCAGGGAGGTAGCTTGTGGTAACGGTGTGTGTGTGTGCGTGTGTGTGCCACAACGCAGCTGAATATCGAAGCAACCAATGCTGTGCCATCATTGAAGCCTCTGCGGCCCCAGCACCACCGAGCAAGCATGCACATAGCATATCTCGACATCGTTCTAAAGAAGATGGGACGATATGGGCTGAGCTGCTGCGGGCTTCGTCTGATTACAGCTCAGATAATCACATCTTACTCATCACGGAAACGTGAAAATGAAGAGGAAGCAGTATCAAGTGCTTATAACAGGAGGGAATGAACGAGGAGAAACGCCCAAGGCAACATTGAGATGCACGCTATTGATAGCAGTACGAACGGCGGGCTGACCAGGCCTCTGGAAGCCCCAGCAGCTTGGCTGGTCTACAGCCGGGTATTTTGGTGCGATTCAACATATACCGATTGCACTTCGAGCTGGCACGAGGTGGACTGTGTAGCATTAAGGAAAGGTGCATTAAAGAGGGCATAATTATTCGATAACCCGTGATGGCAATGTGTGACCTGTGATGGCAATATGTGTATGGAATCACGAGACGGATTCTTTCCCGGGCCTGCGGAATCAACATCGACTCGAAAAGGTAATAGGTACAATCTTCAAGATCCCAGGATGATTCGATAGACCGTGCCGTGCCGTACGGTTACACTTACTTGCGTCCACATCCCGCGTGGGTTTCGGTGCCTGTCCGCTCGCTGTGGGGGTTACATATACAATGGTGATTGTTTGATAGATCGGGGAGCATAAAACTCTCGAAATGAAAACGTGAAAATGAAACCTCGAAACTGGTTTCAGAGTGAAATCGATATTGAGATTTATTTTCGTTCGCGGCGTTTGGTAACAATCTCAAGTCCACCTTAAAAGACCCATTTACTACTACTACTAAATCCGAAATGCGCAAATCAGAGTTCTTTAAAGACTTTCTCCGTACTTTCTCCTCGCTTCTTATTAGACAAGGTCTAAGAACAAGGTCTAACGTCGTTATAATAAAAAGTCTGAAAATGTCGATTTTCGATAAAGACTTGATAATATACTGAAACTATAGGTTGTTAAAAATAGAAATTGTTCTTTTGCATTTTATTGTGCAAAAGCAGACCTGCAATGCATGTTGCGGTTTTCAGTATTATACCCTTATACCGCACGACACATCCCTCAGAGCAGGCCGATTAAGCCGCTTTACCGGCTGCTCTGTATTACCACGTAGCGGTTATCATACGGCGGTTACTATTGCATAGCATTGTTGGCTCAATGCCTCTTTTGCCAACGTAAAGCCTTCTTTCTTTTTCTTTTTTCTTTTCTTTTTTTTTCTTTTTTTTCCTTTTTTTTTGCTTGCTTCTAGATTTTTAATCAGCGGCGACTTTTATCGCAGCCTGACTAAGCAAGGTGTAGTTAATATTGCTGGCTAAACATTTATCCACAAGACCATTGAAGCACCCCCGCAGCTGAACGATAGCGGGGTGACATCGGGTTCCCGGTTAAGAAAGCTTTAGACTGCATACACTAAAATTGCCCAGTTGACAGCTAGCGATCGATCGATCAACCAAGTTATCGGAGCGAATGTAGCTCTTAACTGTTGTGCAAAAGCAGCCCTGCAATGCACATTGCAGTTTCCAGTACTACGGTACAACCCTCTACCGCACGACACAGCTTCTAGTTTCGGGATGAACTTTCGAGCTTTCGAGGTTTCAATTGCAAGGTTTAAATTATCCAAACCCTTCTATCAAACGCTAACTAACTCTCAGTCAGGTAGAAACCGAAAACACTTTTTGAAACTGGACTGGAGAGAGTTAGCAGACGCGCGCCCTTACTAAGTAGTACTACTACGTAGTACGTCGCAGGCGTAGTTGTTACACCCTTGAGGGTAGGGTAACCAGGGGCTTTAAAGTGGAATTCTAACTTTTGAGGCACCCTCAAGGATGTAATAATTACGCCTGTACCGTGGTAGAAGGAAGAATGCCGAACGCAGAATGCAAGGACGAAAAGGGGAATTATCGAATAGGTAGGCAAAAGTCAAAAGTACTAGACACCACCACCACCACCACCATCACATGGGGGTCTTCGGCGGCGCGGATAAAGAATTGGATAATATTTATCCGGCGGTGTAGGACAATGAGGTTTTACGATAGCTGCAATAGCTAGGTATAGTAGCGTGCTAGGTAGCGAGGAGGGAAGGTTACAGGTTGACGGTGAACGATTATATATCGACATTTCGCTTGCGGTGTAAACAAAAAAAAAACATCCACTTTTATTCATCCTCGATATGTCGGCAACGATTGTTTACTTTTTCGCTGGGTCTGTCTTTGCGAGACTTCGAGCCTCGCTATAAGTAAGCCCCTATATCTCAAGACATTTGTTCTGGTATCTAAAGAAAAAAAATCCGCGCTCGCCGTAAGGAATTTCTATCCTCAAGCTTACTTCATATAAACCAGATTTCTTTTCTCCTGCACCCAACGCCCGCCCGCTCACGAGCGCCCTTCAAGAACTCTCGCAAAAACCCAAGCAAGGACACAGAACAGACAGTCAGTCAGTCATTCTCCATCCCACCAGCCCTACCACGCAACCTGTATGACCGCCAACCGCGGGCCTGGCATCCCCCACTCCGCGTCGGCAGCTTCCACAACCGCTCCACGCGCGGGCCCGTTTCCCCATGGCATGGAAACCCCGCGACTCTGGTATAAGCAGCTCTTATCTGCTCGTCGGCTTCCCTCTGGCACAGCAGCTTCAGCTCCGTCTCCGAGAACTTCTGCTGGTCGCCCACTTCAATCTCCTCCTCCCCCTCAATCGGCACATCCGCGAACTCGGCCGCGACCCGCGCTGGCTGGGCAGCCGCACTCGCGAACCGCACCCGGCCTAGTCCCTCTTCTTCGCCGTCTGCGGTACCCCCTCGACTCCCTCGTCCTCGTTGCTGTTCATGCCGTCGTTCTCCGGTTGCCGCGGCGGCAGACTTCGCTGACGCGCTGCAACGCTGGCTTGGCTCGCGCCCTTGCCCTGGAAACTCACTCTCCTCGAACGGCTAGAGCCTGTGCCCGTGCAGACTCGGTTGTGTGCCATCTCAAGGTGCTCCTCCTCCTCGTCGTCCGAGTCGGAGCTGCTGCTGCTGCGAACTTCATCTCGGCGGTGCGCAGGCGCAGCTTGTCGAGGGTGAAGGCGTGGCCTAGGATGAAGTGCGGTCGGGCTGGTCTGCGGCGATCTGGGGCTTGCAGCGGGCCGTGTGCGCGATCTGGTAGGTGGCGCGTGTAGATCTAGTTGACGTGGAAACGGACATCTTCGCTTTTATCCCAGGGGGTTGGGAGTCCGTCTAGGTAGTACGTACAGCACAATGTTGAGTGGATTAGGTGAGAGAAGGCGATAAAAGCTACCGGTAGGTTGAGAAGTATTGATCGAGAAGCTGACGGATCAGGAGAGACCGATCACGTGCGACGGTCAGATCAGGTGAGTCAGCCCAGCTGCGATTTCCATCAGCTGATACAAGATATTCGAAGTTTTCGAGCGCTTTCCTTTTCTTTTTCCTTTTCCTTCTCCTTTCCCTTTTCCTTCAAAATGTCGAAGTACTTATATGTCTCATTATCAGAGAGCCACTTGCCGTGAGCCAGCGCCTGATCTTATCTTCTCAGGCTTTCCGTTCCCACTTCCCACCTTCCCATCTTCCAGCTTGCCGTTCGGGTCCAGTCATGTGATTTGGACTGGCCCGGACTCGATGCAAGTCGGCCGGCGTCGTCATGATCTTCAAGGGCCGTACTTGCCGTTTCCAACCATTGCCGCCACTGCGTCATATCATATGATGCTTCCCCGCGCTCTGTTTGCGGATGTGGCACGTGCGGTGCGGTTCGGTGCCTTTCCTTTCTTAGTGCCTTCCGTATAAACATCACGTCACCTTTTCTGTGAATCTCCTTCCCACTTCACTCCTCTTCTCTTCATTTCACTTCTCTTCACCTGTTCAACTGCTGATCTTTTTCATACCATCAGTCCCACGGTTTCTTCTGAATCATCTGAACACACACTTCCTCGCAATCAACCCATTCGAAGATGTACATCCCATCAGCCCAACAGATCATGACCGCAGGCCTTATCGCCACCGGCTGTATGAAATCAGGCATGAAGTCCTTGGGTAGGTCTCCTTCTCCCCTACCTCTGTCTCATTCTCTCTCTGCATCTGTCGATCCCGCTCGTCCTAACTTCTCAATCCAAACAAATAGTCGGCGACGAAGTATCCTCGGGCAAGCTCCTCGATTTCGCCGTCGAGAAGTGCATCGACAATGACGGCAACCAGCGCTGCAGCGCCCCTTTCCTCGTTTCCGAATCCAAGTGCTACAAGCTCGAATGGAGCACTGAGGGGACCGTCAGCCACACGACGGCTGAGGTGCGGGATGTCAAGAGCGGGGAGATCGTCTACTACCGCGATACCAATGGAGAGTGGACGCCCGAGAAGGGAGAAGTATGTCTGTCCAACACCTACTTGGCTTCTGCAGAAGACGGTGGGCCATGATACTACCGGTACCAAATGCTAACGCGATGATGGCAGCTGGTTTATGTTGACTTCAAGCCTAAGGTCTGGAAGACGGGCAATGATACTGTGGATTACACGGTCTCGCTGTGCAAATAGGAGAAGGGCTGTATGCATTACTCATCACTTATGTACACGTGGTTCGGGAATGGAGCCGGGGAACGAATGGTAATGGAACGGGCAAAGGAACGGTCAAGGGGTTACGGAGTGGAACATTCACGGATGGAATACGGTCTAACAGTACGCTCCGACGGCTATCACGAATAGTAATAACATCAAGGCAAGATTATTGCATTACACTCATGGAGAATTCCCGCTGTTGTCCGACTCTGGTTGGGGGTTGTTTTTTAATATTTATTTGTTTGCTTGTTTGTGTCGTTATCATGTCCCGGCTCAATCCCGAGTGGATATGTTGTATCTTTGAATGGGTGTTTTGCAGTGGCCGCATCCTTAGCTGAATGTAGTACAGTAATGGTCCCTCCGTATCGCGTAAGCGCAGGCCAAGGGCAGAGTGAGACGAAGAAACAAGCAAAGCGGACAGGGTAGCCGAGATCAAGATTGCCGCTACAGTATAGTAGTCGGGATGCAGTGCAGTTGCACGGAGGTACGGTACAGCGGTTAAGTGTCGTAACCCTCGTCGGGCCCACGGCTACTATGTCTAACCTCCTAAGGCAATAACGTGATCGCCTAGGCACGGAATTGTGACGAACCTGATTTTAACCGAACCCAATCAAGTTAAGAAGAAGTGGCTGTGGGTCGACGAGGGGTATGACACTTAACCGCTAGTAGCGCGTCTTGGCCCGGCCGGGTACGGAATATATACCGGTAGACTTACAACCTACTCCGTATCGAATGCAACTTAGATACTTCGGTCGGTACCTTACACTTACACTTGTCCGTGAATCGCAAGGAAGGGTGCTGCTCATCCATGATATCGTGGGCTCCTTATCTATAATTAGTATATGATTATATGATTAGATATGATGACTATACGACCATCCCCAGCCTCATCGATATCTCCTCTCCCAGCTGATTTCGCGAGATGACGTACAATTCCAGTCCTCATGCGATCCGTGGTTTTCCAGGGTCATCGCAGGTACGGCGGTCGCTTGTCCTCCCGATTCACTTCTTTAATCTGGGCTGAGGACGAGCACAGATCGCCATACAGAACGCGAGTGGAGACGGAAAGCTTAAAGGGCAAGAGCAGCTGCAGCAACTGCAGCAGGACCTACTTACTGTACCTTGAACCACCCTGCCTGACTTTTCCGGGAAATGGACTGCGGTACACCCAAATGTCCGAACTTAGCGAGCGAAAAGTCCGAGCTGGTGCCAAAGGACGAAGGACGTCGGCAGTCACCGTCAGATAAATAGCAGAGGGAACCCGCGCCGACTGATGCCCAAGTGGCCCGAGCGAGATAATATACAGAGTCGACCTAATCCTTTCCCTATCCAACAGCATCCCCGCCTCATTCGATCCATTGGATCGGGCAACTGAAGGTCCTGTGGCCGGTAGTCCTCTTCAGCAGCAGTAACAACAGCACCACCACCACCACCACCACCACTACCACTACCACTACCACCACTACCACTACCAACAACAAGAATACCCACAGCCAGAACATCTCGGGCAATCCAGCCCCGAGGAGAACACTCTTCACCCGAGAGTCGCGGGGCCATCATGGCGACGTCGGACGGGCCCGAGTTTGCTCCCATCGGGAGGTCAAACACCACTGGTAGCGCTATTGCTCGCATCTTGACCGGCGGCTCCAGGGCCTCGAAGAAGAGGGCGGACGAGGATGATCGGTATTCCGACCCCGAGAAGCCGGATGCGAGTGATCCCATCTCCAGCGACTGGAGCTTGATGTCGGACCTGCAGGCGATGCAGCAGGGAGGTGAGAAGGACGGCCAGAGTGGCCAGAGTGGCCAGAAGGGCCAGAAATTGGGCGTGACGTGGACCAACTTGACCGTCAAGGGCATCGGCGCCGATGCGGCCTTCAACGAGAACGTGGGCTCGCAATTCAACATCCCGAAGCTGGTCAAGGAGAGCCGGCAGCCGGCGCCGCTCAAGTACGTTCCCACACACATCTCGGCACCCATCAGTCGCTAACGGATCTCAGGACCATCATCGAGGACAGTCACGGCTGTGTCAGGCCAGGTGAGATGTTGCTCGTCCTGGGCCGGCCGGGAGCTGGTTGCACGACCTTGCTCAAGATGCTGGCCAACAGACGGCTGGGATACGCAGAGGTGACGGGCGACGTGAAATGGGGGACCCTCGACCCCAAGCAAGCTGAGCACTTCCGAGGCCAGATCGCCATGAACACCGAAGAGGAGTTGTTCTTTCCCACCCTGACCGTAGGCCAGACGATAGACTTTGCGACGCGTATGAAGGTAAGTTCGTTCTGTCGCTTCCTCGATCCCCAACGCTGGCTGGCCCCCTCAATCGTTCGGTCAGTCGGGTGGACCGACACCTGACCCTGGACTGACCATGCGCCAGGTCCCGTTCAATCTGTCTCCCGGTAAGGGGTCGGCGGAAGAGTTCCAGCAGAAAACCCGCGAGTTCCTCCTCAAGTCCATGGGCATCAGCCACACCCAGGACACGAAGGTCGGCAACGAATTCGTGCGCGGTGTTTCTGGGGGCGAGCGGAAAAGAGTCAGTATCATCGAGACGCTCGCAACTCGAGCGTCCGTCGTCTGCTGGGACAACTCGACTCGTGGTTTGGACGCCAGCACCGCCTTGGAATACACCAAAGCGATCCGGGCTCTCACCGACATGTTTGGCCTCGCTTCCATCATCACTCTCTATCAAGCCGGAAACGGAATCTACAACCAATTCGACAAAGTCTTGATCATCGACGAGGGAAAGCAGATCTACTATGGCCCCAGGACCGAAGCGAGACCTTTCATGGAGGAGCTAGGGTTCGTCTGCGTCAAGGGAGCTAATGTTGCCGATTTCCTGACTGGCGTCGTCGTTCCTTCGGAGAGGAAGATCCGGCCCGGCTTCGAGAATTCCTTCCCGCGCACAGCTTCGGAGATCCGGGACCGTTACAACGCCTCGGCTATCAAGGCCGACATGGAAGCCGAAGAAGCCGCCTACCCCAACAGCGACGAGGCAAGGATGAACACGGAAACCTTTCGTAATAGTGTCATGCAAGAGCAGCACAAGAGTCTGCCCAAGGGATCTCCTCTTACCGTGTCCTTTGTGACGCAGGTGAAGGCCGCGGTAATTCGCCAGTACCAAATCCTCTGGGGAGACAAAGCTACCTTCATCATCAAGCAAGCCTCGAACGTGGTGCTGGCCGTGATCTTCGGTTCCCTCTTCTATGACGCTCCCGCCCACTCGGGCGGTATCTTTGTCAAAGGTGGTGCTATATTCTTGGCCCTTCTGCAAAACGCTCTCCTCGCCTTGTCCGAGGTCAACGACTCCTTTTCCGGTCGTCCCGTACTGGCCAAGCACAAATCTTTCGCTCTCTACCATCCGGCGGCATTCTGTATCGCACAGATCACTGCCGATATCCCGGTCATTTTCCTCCAGGTGTCGACTTTCTCGGTGATCTTATACTTCATGGTTGGCTTGAAGTCGACAGCTGAAGCATTTTTCACACATTGGGCCATCATCTTCGCGTCCACGATGTGTATGACCTCTTTCTTCCGAGCCATCGGAGCTTCGTTCAGCAACTTTGACGCTGCTAGCAAAGTCTCGGGGTTCGCCATCTCGGCCATCATCATGTACACTGGCTACATGATCCCCAAGCCTGACATGCAGCCCTGGTTTGTCTGGATTTACTGGATCGACCCTCTCGCATACGGCTTTTCGGCGCTTCTGGCCAATGAATTCAAGGATACCATCATCCCCTGCGCGGGGCCAAATCTGGTTCCCATCGGTCCTGGCTACACCGACGTAGCGTTCCAGGCTTGTACTGGGGTTGGAGGAGCGTCTCCCGGCGCAGCAGTCGTTACTGGAAATGACTACCTTGACTCCTTGTCCTATGCACCGGGAAACATCTGGCGCAACTTCGGTATTGTCATGGGCTGCTGGCTGCTTTTCGCGGTCGTCACGGTGGTCGCAACGAGTGGCTGGTCTGCGCAGTCCGGCAACAGTGGCTTCTTGCTCATCCCCCGCGAGAAGGCTAAGCAGACCAAGCGCTTGACCTCCGATGAAGAATCGCAATCCCGAGATGGTAACCCCAAGGATCCTCCTGCTTCCAGCAAGTCTTCGGGGGAGACCAGAGTTGACGACGAACTGGTCCGCAACACCTCGATCTTCACCTGGAAGAACCTCTCCTACGTGGTCAAGACTCCGTCCGGAGATCGGACTCTCCTGGATAACGTCCAAGGTTGGGTCAAGCCAGGCATGCTCGGCGCTCTGATGGGATCTTCTGGCGCTGGGAAGACGACTCTCCTGGATATTCTTGCTCAGCGAAAGACCGATGGTACAGTCACCGGGTCCATCCTTGTCGATGGCCGTCCCCTGAACATCAGCTTCCAGCGTTCCGCCGGGTACTGCGAGCAATTGGATGTTCATGACCCATTAGCCACCGTCCGCGAGGCCTTGGAATTCTCTGCCATCCTGCGGCAGCCCCGCACGACCCCTATCGAGAAAAAACTCCAGTATGTCGACACAATTGTTGATCTCTTGGAGATGCACGACATCGAGAACACCCTTATCGGCACCACCAGCGCTGGTCTGTCAGTCGAACAACGCAAACGTCTGACCATCGGTGTGGAACTTGTCTCCAAGCCTTCCATCCTCATCTTCCTGGACGAACCGACCTCTGGTCTTGACGGTCAAGCGGCTTATAACATCGTCCGATTCCTACGAAAGCTCGCCGACGCCGGCCAAGCCGTTCTCGTCACCATCCATCAGCCCAGCGCTCAGCTTTTCCGGGAATTTGACTCCCTCTTACTACTGCACAGAGGGGGTAAGACTGTTTACTTCGGCGACATAGGCGAGGACGCGGCAATTGTCAAGGACTACTTCAGCCGCAACGGTGCACCTTGCCCTCCAGATGCCAATCCCGCTGAGCACATGATCGATGTCGTCTCCGGAAGCTTCAGCCAAGGAAAGGACTGGAACCAAGTCTGGCTCGAGTCGCCTGAACACCAAGCCGTGATCAAAGAGCTCGATCAGATGATCGCGCACGCGGCAGCCGAAGAACCGGCTACCACAGATGATGGCTTTGAGTTTGCTATGCCTCTCTGGGAGCAGACCAAGATCGTGACCGCACGTATGAACCTGTCCATTGTAAGTCTCAACTCCCACGTGCGCTGTAGAAATATGCACGTCCTTGACTGCCAGTTCATGGCTCGAGTCAGCAACTTCGAGGAGAAAATCCCCGAGCCTCTGCTGCAGCTTTCGGCTGAGACGGTGCTGACTTGTGGCGCAGTGGAGAAATACGGATTACATCAACAACAAGATGGCCTTGCATATCGGCTCCGCGCTCTTCAACGGTTTCTCTTTCTGGAAGGTCGGAAGTTCCGTGGCGGATCTCCAGCTCCGCCTCTTCGCGGTCTTTAATTTCATTTTCGTCGCTCCCGGTGTCATGGCGCAGCTGCAACCTCTGTTTATCGAGCGCAGAGATGTCTACGAGGTTCGCGAGAAAAAGAGCAAGATGTAGTATGTATACCCCGAGCTGCTGTTTCTCCCTGTGTCCGACTCTAGGTTGTCGCCTTTCGATCGTTTGATGCTCTGAAACGCTACTTGATTCGGAAGGGGAAAGAAATACTGACGCTTCCTTCCCCCTTAGCTCGTGGATCGCTTTCACCACCGGCAACATCGTCTCCGAGGTGCCCTACCTCGTCGTCTGCGCCGTCCTCTACTTCGTCGGGTGGTACTACACCGTCGGTTTTCCCAGCGACTCGGGCAAAGCCGCCTCCGTCTTCTACGTGATGGTCATGTACGAGTTCGTCTACACGGGCATCGGGCAGTTCGTCGCAGCCTACGCGCCTGATGCCATGTTCGCCTCCCTGATCAACCCGATCATCCTCGGTATGCTCGTCTCCTTCTGCGGCGTCTTGGTGCCGTACTCGCAGATCCCGACCTTCTGGCGTTCCTGGCTCTACTACCTGAACCCGTTCAACTACCTCATGGGCTCGCTGCTCGTGTTCGTCACCTGGGACGAGCCGGTGCGCTGCTCCGACGCCGAGTTCGCCGTCTTCGACACCCCCGTCCCGGGCCAGACCTGCGCCGAATACCTCGCCGATTACCTGGTGGGCAGCGGAGCGGCCGCGAACCTGACGAACCCGGAGGCCACGAGCGGGTGCCGCGTGTGCCAGTACCGCACTGGTGCGGACTACCTCCGGACGCTCAACCTGAAGGAGTATAGCAACGGGTGGCGTGACGCGGGCATTGTCACGATGTTCGCGTGCAGCTCGTACGCGCTGGTCTACCTGTTTATGAAGCTGCGGACGAAGAAGAGTAAGACGGCCCAGTAGACCTGGGTCTGTATCGACTAGATACCTGTATAGTCGGGGGAGAAGTCCACCTCGTCTGCATTTCGGAGTTGGCGGTTCTAGCGTGGCACTAGTCGCCAGCGCCGTCTTGGGTTTCTGCATCTATAGACATAATGGAGTGGTGTGATTAGTCCTATAAATTAGAACGGGCGGAGAAGAGAGCGCCGTTGTTATATTATAGTATCTGTACGGATGCACCCTGTTATCGAGATGTCTAATGGATTCGACTTTGCAAGCTCGCCTCATGATCTTGGTGTCTGTGTGTAAGCAGTCGAGCAACTGCAGAATCAGTGACTGTGATCGACAGGTATACATAGCTATCTGATGTGAAAAATGAAAGTGGGTAGGTAGGAGACTGCTTTAGAGGACGTAATAAGCTGGGTACATGAGATGGTCAAGAACAAGATCAATGATTTATATATATACATATATATTATTTTAATTTTGTAATTTTGATTCATTCGTTTATTTACTTTTCTTTTTATTTTTTTTATCTATTTATTTATTTATTTGGGAAAGGCAAGATGGGTTTGATCATGAGTTTCTGAAATCTGAAAAGGCAGGGCGGCTTCGAAGTATAAGCGAAAAGTGCTGACTGAACCTGATACTTTGCACTTCAGCTTAAGCTTAAGCTTCCTTCCTTCCTTCATCCTTCATGATCATGTACCTACAATGATAACGTAACAACACCCGAGTCCATACTCTCTCGATGTCTCTCTTTCATAGATCTCCAATTGTTTTTCTTGTTCGTTCCGCCTGATCTCTCTTTCGATCGTTGTTGGTATTCTGGTATTCCGTCATCCAATGAATAGTGTGTCGTCCTAAGTAGTCCGCCTCCAGTTCATGCCATTCTGAGTATGGCTTCGACCTTCTATATAAGCGTTCTTCCTCATCGGACCGTCTTTTATAAGATCTCCACCTTTTCCTCCCCACCGTTTTCCTATCGTTGCATTTGATGACCTGCTATCATTCTTTTCCGCCCTCGTTTCTCTCTTCCTCGTTGCCCCCCAACACATCGTCCTGGGCATGCAGATATAAAGCAAGCAAGCAAGTAAGCTCGTAATGATGGATACCTATAACGATCTGAAACTGGGGCGTGATGGAGATCTCCAGCTGGACACATTTCGACGAGACAAGAACGATCGCGAGGCTGCGGTGGCGTCGGTGGGCAGTGGCAGCACTGCTTCTGCCGGGTCAGGTCCCAACCTCGACGGCGCAGACGTCGAGGCAAACTCGAAAGCTGGCAGTGGTAGCAATGACACCGAGGCCTCGTCGTCTTCAGAAAATGCCCAGGCCGGCGTGAAGAATATCGAGGCGGTTGCGATGACCTGGACCGCGTGGGGGCTCCTCATAGCATATGCGAGGTTCGTCTCAGGTATCCCATATCTAGGATGGATGGATTGTGACGATTCGTCTGGTCTGCGATCTTTGGCTTACCATCTCCCATAGTATCTTCCTCATGGCTTTCACCGTCTCCTTAGAGGGCCAGGTGGTCCAGTCGCTGTCCGTCTTTGCTACCAGCTCGTTCAAGTCGCACTCCTTGATCTCGACTGTTTACGTGGTCCAGGGTGTGGTCAATGGTATGTATATCCCCTCTCCTCCAAAATGATATATAGATATATAGATATATATATAGAGATGTGGTATCCTAGCTCTAACGACCAGCAGCTGTGATCAAAACCCCCATGGCCAAGGTCGCAGATGTATTCGGCCGTCTCGAAGCCTTCTCATTCAGCGTCTTCCTCTACGTAATCGGATATATCCAGATGGCCGCCTCCAGCAACGTCGAAACCTACGCCGCTGCCCAAATCTTCTACGCTGCAGGGAATACGGGCCTGCAGATCCTACAACAGATCTTCATCGCCGATACCTCCGACCTCCTCAATCGAGCTCTCTGGTCCAGCTTACCGGACATGCCGTTTCTCGTCACCGTCTGGGTCGGATCGATCATCGGCAACGATGTTCTCGCGACCACCACTTGGAGATGGGGATACGGGATGTGGTGTATCATCCTGCCTGTCATGTTCTTGCCCCTGGCTCTCACGTTGTTTCTCAACAATCGAAAGGCGAAAAGGCTCGGCCTGACTAGCGAGTCGCAGTTCAAGGGAATGGGCGTTTCGCAGATTTTGAAGCATCTCTGGTTCGAACTTGACCTCGGAGGCATCATCCTGCTTAGTGCTGCATTTGCGTTGATCCTGATCCCTCTAACTGTTGCCACAAAGGCGGCAGATGGATGGAGCAATCCGAGTATCATTGCTATGCTTGTCATCGGGGCTGTCTGCTTCGCCGTCTTTCCCTGCTGGGAGAATGTCAAGAAGCTGGCGCCGCGACCTTTGATCCCGATGCACCTGTTCAAGACCTGGACGTTCAGCGCCGGTTGTGGTGTGGGATTCTTCTACTTCAGTACGTCTCTCAACCGCCCTCTTGCTTTTCTCGACTACTGATCTCTCTCTCTAGTGGCATTCTACCTATCTGTCCAACCATACTTCTACTCTTACCTCTTGGTCGTAGAGCACAAATCAGTCACAGCCGCCGGCCACATCACCCAGACATTTTCCTTCACCTCAACAGTAGCCTCGATCATCATCTCCTTCTTAATCAAATACACCAAATACTACAAACCCTACGTCGTTGCAGGCATCTGCATGTACATCACGGGCCTCGGCCTCATGATCAAGTACCGGGCCGAGCACGTTTCGACGGGCGCCCTCGTCGGCACGCAGATCGCCATCGGCATCGGCGGTGGCATGCTCAACGTCCCGGCCCAGCTCGGGGTCCAGGCGAGTACGGATCACCAGCACGTCGCCGTCGCAACGGCCGTCTACCTCACCTGCGTCGAGCTCGGTGGAGCCGTCGGATCTGCCATCTCGGGCGCCGTCTGGGGCCACAACATCCCGGCCAAGCTCCGCCAATACCTCCCCGCGTCAGCCCAGGGTCAGGCGGCGGCCATCTACGACCAGATCACCGTCGCGCGCTCGTACGCCGTCGGTACCCCCGAGCGTGCGGCCATCGACCGCGCGTACGACGAGACGATGCACATCCTGCTGGTCATCGCTATCTGTGCGGCGGTGCCGATGCTCTTCCTGAGCTTGATGATGAGTAATTACAAGCTGGACGAGCTGAAGCAGAATGTCAAGGGAAGGGTTATTGGCGGTGCTGTTCGGGAGAGGGAGGAAGTGGAAGGGGAGGGCGAGGGCGAGGGGGAGGGGGAGGTTGTGAGGCATGAAGAGGGGGGTGAGAAGATGGCTGCTGCTGGCTTGGGTGGTGGCTGCTTAAGTTGAGGAAGAGGCGGAGTGTTTGAATCGAGAGTTTTGAAATGGACTGAATGCATATATATCAATATAATATGCATATACACGTACCCATCCATTCGTACTCAGCACACGCCCGCCCTACCCCGGATCGACCGTGCAATCCAACCTCCCTCCTTCCCTCCAATAAACATCTCAATAACCAATATACAACAGTGTAATGATCTCCTTCAACCACCCAGCTGCGAGCTAGCCATCCCCTCTTCTCTTCTCTTCTCTTCTCTTCAAGGCACCATTGAAATGAAGATAGAAGATTGAAGATGAAATTGGCATATAAGAACCCCGGTGAAGAAATGCAAGACTTGCTACTTACCGGTACTCATACTGAACTGACCAGACAATCCAAGCAGAACAGAACAAAGCAGAGCAGAGCAACACAGATCCAACCCGAGCCAAATCAGATCAAGTCCATCAGGCAGCTAACTAAACTAAACTAAACTAATCCAAACCAATCCAAACTAAACTAGTCAAACACTCCAAACCAAGCTTAGCCAGCTAGCTAGCCAGCCTCCAAGATGAGACGAGACGAGACGAGACCAGACGAAAATGAAAGAAAAAGTAGGTTTTCTGTCTTACTCGCTCACTTACTCAGTCTATCTGAAGAAAGCGTCGCGCTCGTTCAGCCCAAGCCTGGGCGTGAATGTCAGTGTGAGTGTGAATGTAAAAGCACTCGATCGAGTCTGGCTTTTGTGTTTCGAGATGTATGTATGTGCAACAATCAGGTCAGGTAAGTGGTTTGGTAGGTAGGAAGCTAGGTAGCTTATTACAAAAGGAGAAATTGCAGCAGCGCCTTGCTCCAGCGAAAACTTTGGCCCGCGCCTGGAATAATTATTTTTTTTCCAAAAGGGGTTGGTTGGTTGGTTGGCACATTCTACGGTGAGTAACGTACATCCCATCTTTCGCCATCTTACTTCCTCAAGTCCCGCGATGCTATACATCTCTATGATTTTTATACATATTCCATCTACCCCCCCACCCCATCTATCGGTCTGCCAGCATGTCCTTCACGCTGGCAAAGTACCTGGGCTTGACGTGCTTGCCGACCTCCTCCTTCGTCAGCCACTTGAAGTTCCGCACGCCAAACGCATTGCCCGTAATGTCCGCCTGTCCAGCCATGATGCGTCCCTTCAGGAAGAACTGCTTCTCGCCAGACTTGATGAGCTGCGACTTGTCTTCGCTGTACTGCGGCGGTAGGACGTAGTGGCCGACGGGGACTTTGCCGACGACCCAGGTGTTCATGTTCATACCGGCCGTCTGCACGATAATGCGTTCTGCAGCCTGTTTTATCATGAGCCGGACCGCCTCTCAAGTAGACTCTTCCAACAAATTAGAGAAGGAGGAAAGGAGCAAACAAACCTGATGCAGATTCTCCCTCCCCTCCAACCCGCCCACCGGAAACCCCCAGAGCCCATGGCTCTGCTGCACGAGCAAATACAGCGTCCGGTCTAGAGCCCTGTCTAACCTTGTCTTGTCTTTCAATTGATCACTCTCCGTCCTCCTCCCTAACGGCCTCTCCACCTTGATCTCGCCCGCCGCCAGCTCCCGCTCCTCCCCCTCTTTGACCTCCACCGCTGCTCCATCCTTGCCCTCCACAGCGCGAACCCTAGCGTCCTTGATCAGGCTCTCAACGATATGTTTCGGCTCCGCCAGCCCTAGCTTGCCCAACCCTTCAATACCAGGTGCGGCACTGCTTTCCGAAGACAGCAACTCGTCGTTCCATGCCTGATCGCCGTAAGCCCTGTAGCCACCCAGCTCCCTCGCCGCAGCGCCGTTACGCTCGCGGGCCTTGATCTTGCGGTCCGTATCGGCGGGCGTGTCGCTCTTGAAGTAGAAGTACGGCTGGAAGGGCATGGCCAGCCGCTCGTTAAGACGTTTCTGGTAGAAGAAGAAAGCCTTCTCGAAGCTGGTCTGGCGCGCCGTGATGAGCGGTGGGCGCGAGAGCAGGATACCAGCTTTGGGGATGTATTCAGGGATTCCGGAGGTGGTGGCCATGGGTGGGAATCTCTGGAGATGGGGGAACGAGGAGTTGGGGGCTGCGTCGTCGGTTTTCAGGGACGTGGCGGCGATGGCGTAACTTCGCTGGCCGAGGGGGGAGATGCGGGATGCGGGTATAGAGGTGGGCGTGAGTGAGGAGATGCATTCTGAGCAGATGAGAGGATGGGAGTGGGAGTACGTTCGTGTTGATCGTGTTGCGCCTGGTTTCTTGGTTAGTATAGGTTGATGTTTATATCTTCATTTTCTGCGATGCCCCGTCCCAATTGGCTCTGCTCTTTTCTAGGACTTCTAGGAGAACTCACGGATCATCGGAGCCACAGCTCTCATCCCTCTACTTGAAGCGGTCATCTCGTTTTGTTGTCTTGCCCGTCCTCTGGCTTGCTCATCACCGAGTTCCGGATGCTTGACAATCTATCTCCCTACCGAGCCTCGTTCTTCAACATCACCCAAACTTCTTGCTTACATAATCCACGCACGCACGCCCTCTCGCACTAGCGTCAAAATCCCACCCTATAAAAAAAATCTCTGGCAATTCGCCTCCTCTCTTCTCTTCTTCTTTCCTCAATCCACGGCACCCATTCTTATCTCCCGAACCCGTTTCCACCCAGAACGTTCGGGTCATTTAGAGGTCGCCCAGAGCGAACTACCGCGAGGTATAATTCAGGCTTTTTTCGCTAGCGTAACCCTCATCTATACTCCTCTACGGGAATCGTTAGATAGCGACTGTTGACATATTTCCCTCACCAACTCCCTCTCACCTTCTCTCCTACACCCCCCCCCAACCCTCCCCCCCAACCCACATCTTCAATATTTTCGGAACATCGATGACCGGGATCACAATGAGTCTTAACGATGATGTACAATAAAAACAAAATTCAATAACCTCATATGGTTCCCGTGATGCACAATCATCCCCATCCTCTCCCGATTCCTCGGGCCAGCACGGACTTGGGTGTGTGCTCCATGACACTTGTGCTCCCCAACAGCCGCATACACTTTCTTGTGTTCTCGTTTACAATTCAAATTCAAATCAATGCATATCATCATCTTGTACGTCAAGTTCCTCATGTGTAAACTCATTTCGTTCAATTCCAGAGCAAATAGGTATTTCACCCTCGTCCCTTTTCCACCCTGGGCACGGTATGTATCAAGCAAGCCATGCCAAAAAGGCCTCGCAAATAATGCACCACCATAACGAGACTTTGCAAAACGCCCAGGATATGCCACTTATGTCCGCCGCTCCACGCACCACAAATACCCCCGCGCATACCCATTGACACAGTATGCCAGCCAAACACCAAGTCTCCTGTGCCGGGGTATCACTAATATTGCGCCATGAATCCCTTGAAAAAACAATTATTTCGTAGAAACGTCCCGTTTACGCAGTCAAGAGTTTCAAAGCATTCGCCACCTCTCTCTTGGCAATCCTTCCCAGTTTGTTTCGGGATTCGTCGTGGACACTCTGTTCAGCCGCAATTTCGTATAGCTTTCTCGATATATTGCGGTTGATATTGGCGTATTGTTCCTTCGAGAGCTCGGCAGCCTTCCAGTGCGGTGCAAGTGCGTGTTTAACAATCTTGTTGATTCCTTGCTTGGCTTGGCTGGACATTGCTGCCCGAGTTGGGGAACTATCTTCAGATTGTGGGAGTCTTACAGGTCGATGTCTTGGGCGCGGTTGGCGCTGCTCGACTCTGTCTTCGGACTTGTTTCCTGGGCGCGACCTATTTGGCAAGTAGTTTGCACGGGGATACATCGGTTCAACACGTGTTGTCAGGGAGATCGGCGACCTTGATCGGCTGCTCAAGTAAGGAGGCGGGCTAGTGGACAGGGCCCGAGGCGTGTGGTAAGGTGATGACGATGCAGGTGAGGCTGCAGGAGATCTATCCAATGTAGGACTGGTGACTCGGTTGGGCGCCGAAACAGTTGTCAAGGGGAGGGTAGATCGTTCGTCATCAGAAGTGTGATTCGTCTCAACTTCTTTGAGGAGCGACGAGAGAAAAGACGGCTGGCCATCGGTATCGTTCAATGTACCCGCCGTTGGAGGACTTTGGCGATGCCCGTTTGGTTGGCGGCTAGAGCTGGCGATCGAACGAGAAACCGAGGGCTCCGGTCGAGCGATAGTTCTTCTAGTACGAGGTCTTTTCAGCTTGCGCTCTGGCTGGGCTGGCGCAGATGGTCCTTCCCCGGGAGAAGCAGTCGCTGATCTCGATTTTCGCTTCCGTCTGTTTGGTGCAGCAGTACTGACTTCCTTGGCTTTCTCGAAAGCGCCCCAGGCCCTTGTCTCCTCAATTGATTCAGCAGGCGGCTGTGGTGTCTGAAGTCTGGCAGGGGCGGCTAAGCGGAATACATCTCTCGCTCCTTGTCTGCCGGCAATCGACAGTCTTTGGTTATACTGTTGTCGTTGTCTGGCTTGCCATCTCTGATAAGCATAGTAATTCTGGTTGATTTCCGTTCTCTCATGTTCGGCGTAAGTGAAAGAATCTAGATAGAAGGCCTCTATTTCGGGGTCGGAGGTGTCGTCATCTGGTCCCGGACCATCGTCAATTCTGCTGTTCAAGAGAGCCCAAGCCCCAAACCAGCGGTCGTCTCTCTCTTGCTCGCGAGTACGACGGATGCTGGCTCGAGTTCGCGGGGCGTCTCTACTTGCAAAGACTGCTGAAGTGAGAGGCTGAGAGGCGACGCTCTGGTAAGCACCTCGATTGGCACATTCCATACAGAACCAATGTCCATTTGGGACCCGATCGAGACCGATGCAGTGTGTGTGGTAGGGAGCGTCGCAGGAGTCGCAGAGGAGGAGGACCTAGGGGTGTTGAGTTAGAAAATTCCCGTAAACCTGTGTGTAGTTTGGCAGGATCGTATTGCCAGAAATGCATTGAAAGCCCTGGGGAGCAAGTGAAGAAAACAGCCGTTCGTACCTCTTCTTGATCTGCAGATCTGCATATCGGACAAGGCCGAGTCTCTTCAGTCTCTTCCTCATCTTCCTCATTCTCGGACAACCACGCTCTCACATCGAACTCGGCAACTTGCTTCTTATCTTCGACCTCGTATTCCGAGAGAACAACACCTAAAATAATTCAATTAGCGTATGGAAAATTTCAACGTGCTTGGGATTAGCACTCGTAGCGGCCAACTGCTAGTGCATTTCAACTAAGGAAAGTGCTGTCCGCAGACCTGCAGACCAAGAAACAATTCCTAGATCGTGCGATCACGCAAAGAAATGATGGGGGACCTGGAGAAGTGAAGTAACATACCTCCGACTTTATCTCGGACCTCAATCAAGTTAAACGCGCCGCGGCAAATGGGGCAGCTATTTGCCTGCTGCGACCATTGCTTCAAACAACAGTCGTGCAGAAAATGGCCGCAGGATTTGAGGAAGGCAACGGCAAGATCATTCGGGGATGTGCTGGGATGTGGCGTTGACAAGTCTGCGGTCTGTGCCGCCAACTCGCCCGCATCGCGAAGATCGTGGGGAAGTGGAAGTGCTGGGTCGGAGTCGGGATCAGGAACAGGAACAGCGGCCAAGTCTTCCAGACAGATAATACACTGGTCAGCCATGATGGCGAGGGGATTCGTCGAAGTGTGTGTCTGTGGACGAGGGGAACATGAAAAAGTTGTTGTGTTGGGGGGGGATGAGGAAGTAAAACGAAGTGAAGTGAAAAGGTGAAGAGGTGAAGAGGTAAAGAGGCGAAGCACGAGTTTTTATTCGCGATGTTCTGAGATGACAATGGTGAGCGGGTCGTTGCGCGGAGGAGTGAGAGAGATGGTCGAGAGAAGGCGGAAGGGTAGTCGCTTAGCTAGCGTCGGAAGTGGGGCTGGGACTGGGCCTAGGGTAGCTAGCTAGCTTTGGCTGCCTTGGCTGCTTTGGCTGCCTTAGACAACAAATGCTACAGGTGGTCAGTTGAACAAGTATAGTTTACCACAGTAGTGACTCGTATTGCGCCTTCGGCAGCGGCCGGGGCTAGCCACGAGTCGTAATAGTTAGTAGGTAGAAGTAGTAGTAGTAGTAGTAGCCTACTGGTAGCTGTCCAGCGTGTCACCAGATCGTAACTAAGGTAGGTGTGCTGAATGCTGATGTGAGTGTTATAAGACCCAGCCCTATCAGAACGGACAACGCAACGTGCAGCCTGCGTATGACCAAGAGGGAAGGCAGATAAGCCTCTCCGGAATGGCCCAGCAGCGCTGGCGGCTGGAGATACCGACGACAAGATTCCGCAAACCTAAATGGCGAAGCGAAACTTGTCTGACGAGGGTAGGTAAGAGGTAGGTAAGAGGTAGGTACGGTAGGTAGGTGGTCAGCGTAGGTGGTTAGGTATTTCGCATAGCACATTCCCAAATTATCTCTTCAAGAGCCCATCATCTTTCGAAGAACAAGTCGAGAGTCAGAGGGCATTGACTAAGGAACAGCGTGAGTCACGGGCAGAGTACAGTGGTTTGAATGAGGAACTCAACAGCGGGACGGCCTCTCTTGTATGAATGCGTGATGAGGCAAAAGTAGGCGACGAAGCGGCTGGACTATGGAGCCCGCCGAGAGACAGCAAGGTGCGAGTGGCAGCTGAGTAACAACGAATTGTTCGAGCCTCTCGGCCGCTTATACGGCAGTATGATGGATCCTGATGCCCAGCCTAGGCTTGCTGGTGAAGATGCAACTTGAAGCTAGGGTCTTCTCACTCGGTACGTCCTCTCCTTCGGACTCGGCTCTCGACATTGACCAAGGAAAGAAACCAGGGGGAAGTACGGGGGATGTTCGATGGCTTGTCATAAATGGGACCGGGCTGTTGCCTATAGAGCCGTCAGGTGGCAGGCAGGTAGCATCAACTAACACCCTCACAAATTTCACACATTGTATCCTCAACTCGATAGTCGCGATGTAGGCACGCGTGGACGGGAGAAGGCGTGATTTTTGATTGCTTTATTCAGTGCTCCTTTTCGCGGGAGCAGCTTCGAAGTTCGTACCCGTCGTTGAGTGCGATCCCAGACACCAGCAAATGCCAACCGAACCGAAAATACACCTGACCCAACCAATCTTCTAGACCTCAGCAATCTCCCTCAATCGTCGAAGCGTAGATCGCATGGCCGCGGCGGCGGGTGTTCTGCAGCACTGGTCAATCATTTCCTCTTCCTCCCCATCTCACTTCCACTCCGGCGATGATCCGTCCGGTCATCGGGGAACCATTCGAGTATGGGTGCACGTACGACACAGTGTAGGCTCCTCCAGCGACGGTCTTGTTGCACGCCTTGCAGTTCCAGATTCCGACGGAGTGTCTCTTGACGGTGGTCTTTCCGCAGAATGTGCACACGTACTTGGCGTGTTGGCTGATTTCCATCTTCTTGACTTGCTTTCGCAGAGAGGCACCGTATCTGCAGGGCGAGGAAGAGTCTAGTCAGCGTTCTGCTTCTACATCTCCTCATTCTTTACCCCGACGCAGTGGCCCTGAACAAGGTACATCGTACGGTTGGAAATAATCGAATTGCGAAATGGTGCACCTAAATGCGCGCATCGAGGGATCTCCTGCCGGGAACGGAATCGAGTACATACCTTGTACCGTACTTTCCGGTAACACCGACCTTCTTGGTTCTTTTCGTCATCCTGGCGGAGGTTGCTGTGATGTTTACGGGTCTGGAGTTGTCGATGAGGATCAAAGTTCCTTTGCTCACGTCGTTTTTTTCCAAATACCCAGCTGTGGTGTGGCTAGCACTAGCGAGCCTTGGCGCAGCCGGGGGCATGTATCACGTGATGCTTGCCTGAAGACTGACGCCCGGCGCCCGAATCCAACGCCACTGGCAGCCGAGGCTAGATCTTGTGATGAAAGGATGAAAGAGAAAAGGAAGCAGGGAAAATAGCCAACACACGACACGAATACGTCACAGTTTTCCGGAAACCGGTTCAATTCTGCCCCGTCGGAGTGACTTTGCGGAGTAACTTTGATTGATTGATTGTCTGATTGATATGATATATAATAACATATAACATACCTACTTAGCCAGCTAGCTACCTTCCAACCGGGAGTTGCTCAATATTCCTTTCCTCGACCTCGCGCGCCACGATGTCAACTCGCCAATACGATCTTGTTGTTTTTGGTGCCACAGGTTACACGGGCAAGCTCACAGCCGAACATATCACAACAAACCTGCCCACAGATCTGAAATGGGCTATCGCAGGACGATCCGCCAGTAAGCTCGAGGCTGTGGCCGCAGAATGTAAGACCTTAAACCCCGATAGGGTACAACCAGGTAAGTACTCATCTACTCCGTGAAATCCGCTCGGCTGTCCTGTTAAATCTGGTGGCTGGCTCACTTGAACTGACATCTTACAGCCATCGAGACCTGCAATCTCAACGAGGCCGAGCTGGGTGCTTTGGCAAGGAAGACCAAGGTCCTCATTACAGCCGTCGGTCCATATGGTACATACGGCGAGCATGCCTTCAAAGCCTGTGCCGAGAATGGCACCCACTATCTCGACATCACCGGTGAAGTTCCGTTCGTCAGAGACATGATCAAGAAGTACGAGTCCACTGCAAAGAAGAATGGGTGTATCATGATCCCACAGATTGGAATCGACAGTGCTCCCCCTGATTTGGTCACGTGGACGCTCGTTGACATGATCCGAAAGAAGTTCTCTGCGCCAACGGGAGAAGTCGTGGTGTCTGTTTATGACATCAAGTGTGTATCTTGTGTATCTTTATTGGCGAACGCGGCTAACAAGCGTGCAGCTCGGCACCATCAGGTGGAACCTTGAACTCGGTCTTCTCCATACTGGATACATACTCTCTCAAAGAAGTCGCTGCAGCCCACGCCCCTGGCGGGATCTCTCCGATCCCCGTCCCAAAGGGCCCTGGAAAGCCGCTTCTCACCAAGCTCCTCGGCTTCCGCTCCGTCTCTGATCTTGGAATCCTCACCGATCATTTTGGTGCCGTCGCCGACACGCCGATTGTCTACCGCAGCTGGGCTTTGCTGGGAGGCGCCGCCAACTATGGTCCCAACTTCCAGTTCTCGGAAAAATTGAAGGCCCGAAACTACCTGACGGCCATCGCCATCCATTTCAGTCTCGTGATTGGAACTCTTCTGCTTGCAATCCCATTCCTCAGAACACTAGCTCGGAAGTTCGTGTACCAGCCAGGTGAGGGACCATCGAAAGAACAGTACAAGAATGACCGGGTGGAATACCGTGGCATTGCGATTCCCGATACCGAGACTCCGACTCCAATCAGGGCCTATTGCAGGGCAAAGTATGAAGGCTCTTTGTATGCCTGTAAGTAGTCTCGTTTTCACCGTGTCGAGATCTACGCTAAACGATGCAGTTACCGGTGTCTCAGTCGCGGAAGCTGCGATCTCCATTTTGAAGGATGGACATGATCTTCCTGGGGGCATCTACACGCCTGCATGTCTGGGTCAGAAGTTCATCGACCGGCTGGAGGGAGCTGGATTCGAATTTGAGCGAAAGTTCTATGATAATTAGGACGTTTCCAAGGTAGCAAGCAATCCGATACCTAGGGCCTATTCTTTTTGGTCGACTCTTCCCGTATTCTGCAATGTGCGGCGAGTATCGATATAGTTGAAATCTAGCTTTGAGAATTGTGAAAAGGTAGCCATGCAAGCCACGCATCGAGAAGTATGGTTCGAGATATATGCCACGCCTGTTCATTTAATTATCCATCCACCCAGAAAGCGCCGACCACAGAGCTAACACTCACGCACATCATCGTGACTATATCCAAGAGTTTTACTTTTCCAAACTAAATGAAAAGTAAAGATCGATGGATTCAAAGCATATGACGTGGGGTTTAATCAAGATGGGCGGTGCAAAGAGGGAGAAGGATGTAAGTTGCATTTCAAGATAGCCAAGACAGCCAGTAAACCGGCGACAACCACACCGCCACCGCCAGCAGCTTTCAATCTGTTCGCCGCCGCCGCCGTGAAGCTCGCAGAAGAATCTTTTCTGGAGCCCGGGACTTCCTGTAGACCCCGATGACTAAAACCGGATATTTCCAACATGGCAGCCAGGCATAGAAAAGGTACATGATGTATTTCAGAGCAATGCTACATATAGCTGGCAGATAGATACTAGCGCTGACTTGAGTTTTGCACAGCCTACGGCGTTTCCTGGGGAGGCTTTCTGCATCGTCGAATCTAGCGACGTCCCGATGGCAGCCTCGAGCGGACCTGCTGAAGGACGGTCCGTTGAGCCACTGATATCGCAACATAGAATGCACGAGGAAACAGAATATCCGGAAAGACATAGAGCGAGCGGGGATAAGAGTGCCAACGCAATAAGCCACCCTATACACCTTGGATATTTTACCAGTCATAAGCTATTAGCTCATAGGACGGCAATAGATGTTCTAGGATTTATCTTTCGTTTGTGCCGTTGTGGCAATGTTGTTGTCGTCGACCAAGAAGTCGGGTCGGCAAAGGTAAATCCTATGGAGGTGCAAGCCTTCAAGTTGGTCACCGCCTACCGCCCGTCCATGCTTTGCTACGTATGAATTTACCTATTGGAATTTGAGATTGGCTGGCAGAATCAGGCGGTGACGAACTTTTACGGCTTGAAACCTCCGTAAATCTTGAAACAAGCGAGGCTAGGATATGAGCAAAAATAGAAACCCGCGCGCTTAAATGCAGTAGCATCGGCGGCTTATCGCCCAATGAAAATCCCAATTGCTCGTTCAAGCTCCGAATACAGAGTAGGTTGCCCGTAAGTAAACATGGCCGGCTGGGTGCCCTCCACAGTCGAGGCTGGTTATGGGAATTGCGATGATGGATTACAGTTTTGGAATGTCGTTTTGGTCGATGTAGACTGTGGTAAGTCACGTCGGGTGAATGGTGGGTGACCTAGCCCGGGCTGAGCTGAGCTGGAATGGTTCCTGCAGAATTCCGATGCACCTATCCGGTGGGACATCCGACAGTTTTGCCTAACAACATGCCTTGTCTCGCTACAGAGCTCATCCACATGCACGGTCTCACCCCCCAGAATTTCGGCTTAAGAAATCTCGGATCGGAACGACCGCTCCGTCACATTTACGCCAAGTTCATAAGAGGAGGATATATAGTGGCACGTGACTCAAACTACAAGCCACAGTAATTACAAGTCCTCTATCTCGGAGGTAAGGGATGTTTTTATAATTTCAGTGAGTTCATCCCGTTCGAAATATAGCCTTCTGATACGATTCCATATGACTTCGAATCGATAATAAAGATTGAACTTCCTTTCGCAAATTATGCAACGAAAGCGGGGTATCATAGCGTTCCTCCTTCAGCCGCAAAATACGACGCATGCGTTGAGGCTAGCACACAAAGAAAAGCAAACACGGAGCAGTACCGATATAAAGGCTCACCAAAGTACGGGTCCACTTTAATTTCAAACTGAATCCGCTACGTCTGGTGAATATAAAGAAAAAGCTTTAGATATTATAAGAAATGACAGCGGGATCATAAGTACTAACAATGATAACAATAACAGCAGTACTTAAAGTGATATGAAGAAAATTCTGCGAACCGATTCGAACGAAACGAAATATACTACATGATTCAATAAGGTATATGTATATGTTCATACCACAGTATCTTGAAAAAGAAAAATGAAATTAAGAGTAGATTCACGGCGACAACCCACTCAACTTGCACGGGACTGATGCCGTGGATCTGACCACAGTTGGATTACCTAGCTTAAAACCACCGAGGTTATATATACACACACAAATGAATTCTTATGTCGCACCTCTTGGAACCAGACGCATGCATGTATGGATGCATGCATGAGTGAATGTGGATGGTGAATAGAACAGAACAGGAGCTGCGCGCTATACACACATACACACATACATATATATATACATAGCGCGATCGTAAGAATGCGCCAATTTAAAAGGCGTTAATCTCAAGAACCTACCGTCTCTATCTCGTCGCTGACCTCTCGCTTGCCATGACGTTTTATTTGATCTTTGCTGCTTGGCATGCATGCATGAGTATTAGTGACAGGCTTGAAGCCTGAAACCTATCAAACTGTTAGAATCTAGGTATAGTATAATATGAAATAATGCGACACATATACTTAAATCGTGTCGGGAGCGGGGTTTTGCTGTCAGAGGCCTTGAGTTACTGCTGTCGATTATGCGCCGATGTTGAGAGCTTGAACGCGATATCCTATTCCGATCGATGGATTTATATTTTTCTTTCTCGCTAGCTAGTTGTAAGACTGGAAATTTCCCTTTGATCGTTTTTAGGGAGGCGGTTGAGGGTGTGTAAGTGCGGAGAGGAATCTCGCATCCTTAGGGGTTCCAAAGTTCCAGCTAATTCAGACCGAACGCCATCCTCGCTTTAAGCAAACAGTACGTTATTGGATACGGGGTAGTGTTTGATTTATAGGTTGAGAAGGATTGTTCTGCTATATATACATTACAAGTGTGGTGAATGTTGGTTTTTGGAAGGGAGCGCTGGATTGAAGTTCCTGTTGACCGGGTAGGGGTGACTGGAAACAGGTCACAATAGCGGCATCATTGAAGTACGGGGTGAGTATACTGTATACTGGTCTTGAAATCAAAAGAAGGCGGACATTGATTCTTTGTATAGACAGGCGTGACGCCGTGACCTTGCTGCACTTTATTGTATCATAAAACGCTCCCGAACCCCGATGGAAGAGCTCGATGGAAGAGCTCGATGGGAGAGCGAGTGGGTTTTCGAGCCATGGGATTCAATATTGAAAGACCAAGTTGGGCATGTTCGAACCTCTATGTGATATGCGAAACCACTGGCAGGATAAAACCGTGGGTGGAAAGAGCAACGAAAGGTTACGTAAAAGAGTTAGTTACGAAAGAGAGGGGTGCTATTCGAAGACTTCCGCAAATACTTATTCTTCCACGGTGAAAATATAATGACAGCAAGTATAATGAGACCAAGAACATATTTGCTATAGGATCACGATGGTTGCGCATTGGGTTTTGTGGCGGATGCTGGATAGGATGGATATCTAACAAGTCAAGTCCAGCGGAAGACTCGTTGCGAGAACAGACCGTGCCAAGCGAACCCAGGCTATGATTTTTTTTATGTTTTTCGAGGATGGTAGGTCGAGAGTTGGGGCACTCATGCTTAAGTGAAGATAGTGGTGGTTTCCCGAGTGGTGTCGTGTCGGGAGGAAGAGATATGGATGGCACAGCGCGACAGATTAGAAAGTAAACAATGCTAAATCAGACCAAGTGATGCAATCGGAATGAGTAAATAGTCAACAGATAATATAATCGTTTGATTGCATGCTTGCTGGCATAAGCTATTCACGTAGCTGACAGTACATAAAGTATAAGAGCGCTCTGAACGTCATGGAAGCGCGACCTGCGAGAACGGTGTATGGGCTGAGGCTTATTTCAATCTCTACTATTCTCGGTAAAGCCCCTGAATCGCATGTAAGCGAGGAAATAAATCAAATCCAATGTCATGGCCTTGTGGAGATTTTGCGTCGATGCGAAGGATTGCCAAAATATTGAAAATCTAGGTTCTGGAACTCGCGGTGTGGAGGGAGTTGTGGAGGCGAAGAGATTTGAGGATTGCGGAGACCTGACGTCTCCTAGTGCGGTCACGTGATCAACTCACTCGCCTCGCCTAAGCCCCCAGCTGCCAGCTGGCTAGCATCCCTCAAGGCCTGGGGTGTGGGAGGGCAGACTGGGAACAGAACATTGAGCTCGCTGAATCACGAAGTTCTGGAGAGCAGGAGATTTAAGTCATGAAAAGAGTCAAAGAGGCGCAATTCCATCCAAGGGAAGTAGTAATGCCCGGCTCGGATAACATCTTGTTGTACCCCCTGAATCGAGAAACGACTTACTACTTACCCCTTGCTATAAGAAAAACAAAAGACTCTCCTGCAACCTCAACCACCGTGGTATAGTATAAGAGTAAGGGCTTTCCAGATCCGGATGATCATCTTTTCAATCGTCGAGCGGCTTTAAACACGGGGTCAAACGTGTTGGTTGTTGTTTGCATCGCCCCTGAAGGCCCAATCGAGGTCGATTTGCATCAGAGTCCTATCCATTTTGGCATCTCACCCGGAAAACTCGTCCGCCACGGCCATCAATGCCATGTCGCATAATAATATACAAATAAGTACTTGATCGAAAGAGCTCTTCGCGAGCTTCTCATTGAATGTAGAAACATAGGTGAAGTATGGCTTGTTGTTGTTTTCCCTCGGGCGAGGATGGGCACTGGGTCGAAGGGTCGAAAGGTCGAGAGGTTGGTCGAGACGAGCTAGGTCCCGCTCTTGGCCTCCACCCCACCCCCTGCTAGCGCCAGGCCATTCACTCCACTCCGCTCACTCTATCTTTCTTCTTCCCCGATGCCTCAAAACTCTGACTTCCTTTTCTCTTCCCTCTCCATCCAATTCAACAACCCACCGACGCGTCGTGAATAACCACCATCACCATCACCACCACGGCGCGCCATTATTACCTCTCGACACGGCCCCGTCCGTGATCGACTGCGGCTCGGCTATTTACTTTCACAGCCCAGCCATAGACGCGTGGAGAGCCTCATTTGTAAGTGCTGCCCTTGATCTACTATTTCATGTGCACTGCACACGCAATCGGGGCCTCCCTTACACCTTACTCTTACCACCAACCACGAGAACTTCCAAATCTCTTTGGCCATCCAGCTATTTAAAGTGCTTTGGCGAAGCAACTTTCATGTTTACATGTTCACATGAGCTTTCGGTATATCGACTCTGACATCCTACTTTACACCCAGGTTCTCCGGCTCATCAGTGTCTTTGAGAACGCAAAAAGCCGACAAGATGGTAATGCCCCTTTCCTCCCGTCACTACTAAAACCAAAACCAAAACCAAAAAAGCTTATATGTACAGGTTCTATTCAAGCGAAAGCCCGTACAATACCAGTCTATGCCACCAACCGATGGCGTTGATACTGAGGTGAGGGCCTTGCGCAGCAAATGTACCGTGGCGCCACCACTGACCTGGCTACTAGATATGGACTATCGAGGATACGGGAGAGGTATTCGGGGATTATGAGCAATATTTGTCTCGGTAAGTTCACTCCCTCACTTGGTCGTGGCCTGGCCGAACTAACATTTCCTGCCAGGATGGACTTCTACAAGCAGGTTAGCAATTAGGAATCTCCACACGCTCGCACTTTTAATCTAATATTTCACAGCGTCGATTCATCTGTCAAATTACTGGTCACTCTGGACTATCATTCTTTGAGGCCTTAAAGAGCGAGGTAAGCAGAAGGCGAGTCGGAAGGCTGACCCGGCGCAAACTAATTATTTCTAGCTCGCAGGAGCGCAAGAGGTCGAGGAGGCTTTCCCTGAAGCACTAAAGGGACCTATCCTCCGCCGAGTCCAATTTCAAACGATCTCTAGAATCGATACCCTCGTTGACCTCATTTACGACGAATTCCGTTCCGACTACTACCCGGGCGAGGCTGTGACGGTACATGTGGTTACGGGCGAGCGACTGACGGGAATTGTCAGAGACAAGACGAGATTTGGCGCGAAGCAGATGCCTGATGGAACTGTCAATCCGCCATTCTCGAGATACTTCGTCAGCCTCGACAATCGGCCGACTGAGGAAGCTGTGGTGGATGATGCGCACATTACGCGGGATCGCAAAGTCTTCACAAAGCAGGTTTTGCGGTCGTTCATCAAGAAGACGGTGACCAGAGAAGCCTGGACTGGTGCGCCTTGGTTGGTGAAGCCGGACGTTGCGTTGATCTACCATATCGACTCTCGCATACCCGCGCACTTGAAGTACGAGAGCAAGGCTGCTGAGCGAAAGCAAAAGCAGGCTCAACAAAAGAATGCCCCCGAGTATGAAGCTATGGTTGGCAGCTTCCAAGGGAATGGATCGCGCCTGCCAGAGCTCAAGCCCGCCCCCAAGAGCCACAAGAGCAAGCAGCAGCAAGGTCAACAGCTGGCCAAGAGTAAGCAGCAAGCCTTCATGAATTATGCTCCTCCTCCTCCTCCTCCGCACCCTTCTTACCCCCCTCAATTCTACCCTCCTCAACCTCCCTACGCATCTCACAACTTCCAAGCTGGCCCACCACACCCGGGTGGTCCCCATCCGGGACAATTCCACCATCAGCCACAATATCCGTATCAACATCACATGTCCATGCAGCCAGCTCCTCCGCCACCTCCGCCCATCAAGTACCCCATCGAGGATCTACAAGTCATCTTACGACACAACCCTCCCATCAAGCCCCCAATGAAGTACTTCTCACAAGATACTCCGATGGACGACGGAGAGGTGAGGGAAGGGAACGGCATACTCATGAAGTCTGTCGGCCCGTTACTTGAGACCTGGGACACGCTGAACGTCTATTGCGAGGTATTTCAGTTGGACTCATTTACTTTTGATGATTTTGTAGAGGCGATGCAGTTCTCATCTGAGGATGTTGACTGCGAGTTGTTCGTCGAGGTGCACTGTGCTACCCTGAAGATCCTTGTGAGCTCGGAATCAGAAGGCGGACAGGTGCATGTTCGTCTTCCTGAGATGGATAGCGACGAAGAAGATGAAGAGTCTGGTGCCGAAGTCAGCGCTCCACCAACCCCAACGCCCGAGCCAGAACCCAAGCCGAAGGGACGGGCAACTCGGAGTAGCTTGGCCAAGGCCGAGGCGGAAGCTTTGAAGGCAGAGGCAGAACCGCCCAAGGAGCCAACACCTGAGCCCAAGGTCCTTCATCGAGCAGCCGAGATGCAAGCGAAGGAGAACTGGATTGATCGACTAAAAAAGCGCGACTTCAAGGATGGCGGATGGCAATTCATCATGGTGGGCTTATTGCATCAACTGTCTAAGAGCCCTCGTCGCTTTGAGGAATGCGATGCCTTATTGAGGGAACTTGCTCCTCTCCATATGGAACCGACAGCCGAGACCTGCCGCAAGCAGTACGCCAGCCTCGACGTCAATCTCCGGATTCAGGCGCTTCAAATCGCCGTCATGCTTACCGCCGAAACCAAGGCTCTTCGTGCATACATGGAAGAATGCGCTGAGGAGATGACCGCCTGCCGTAAAGAGAAAATTGGCTGCCAAAGAAAACGAAAAGATCTGTGGGTTTCACGTGAATTTAAGTGTCAGCTACCTTCTAACGTGGAACAGGCAAGAGGAACTTCGAATTCTGAACGAGGAACGCAAGATCCAACTTCCAGCAAATATGCCGCCATCTCCTGCTCCTGACAAGCAGCAACAGCAGCTGAACGGTGACGTTTCCATGGTCGACGCTCCACCAGTTGAGGACGTCCAGGATTCGATTGACGAGGACGTAATGGATACCGATGACGACCCCAAATCAGGACGGGCTCTACGACGTGGTAACGATAGGGCTGCAGTAAGAAAGCGGAAGCGCGAAGCCGAGCAAAAGAAAGAGAAGAAGGAAAAGAAGGAGAAGGCTGAAGCAGGGCCGAAGGTTCCGAAGCAGACGAAACAATTCATCAAGCTTATGAAGGACATCCAGAAGAAGGAGGAGTTGATTGCTGAAGTCGAAAAGGAAATCGACGTGCTGGATAACGATCTTCGCGAGAATGATTGCCCCCGCACCCGCGTTCTCGGCAAGGATAGATATTGGAATCGCTACTATTGGTTCGAGCGCAATGGCATGCCCTACGCCGGTCTGCCAGACAGCTCAACGGCCGATGCTGGATATGCCAATGGTCGTATCTGGGTCCAGGGTCCGGATGATCTCGAGCGTGAGGGCTACATCGACATGAAGCCCGAGTGGCAAAACGAGCACAAGGCCCGATTCAACATGACGGTCCCGGAGCGGAAGAAGATGGACGAGGGCAAAACTAGTGTCTACAATGCCAACCAATGGGGATACTACGACGACCCAGAGGCTGTTGATGCTCTGATCAAGTGGCTCGATGTTCGTGGTGCCAATGAGGTCAAGTTAAGCAAAGAGCTCAAGCTCTACCGCGATCGTATTGTCAAAAACATGGTCAAGCGCAAAGAGTACCTGAGCAAGGCTGCAGAGGAGAAACCAATCACAGTCGACTCAGGATCGAAGCGCATGTCGACTCGCAAGAAGGAACAACCTGTCGAGCACATCGCTTACAGATGTCTCTCGTGGCACAACAACACCGCCCTCGGAGAACTGGGCCATCTTCACTCTGACCAACCACGCCCTCGTAAGCCAACAGCCAAGAAGGCGGAGGCAGCCAAAAAGGCCGAGGCGGCCAAGAAGTCTACGGTCGTCCTACCATCACCCGTCGAGGAGGAGCGCCAGACTCGTAGTGAGGCCAAGGGTAAGAAGGAGAAGGGTACCGGTCGCCAGAGCTCGCGGTACAGTTCCTAATGCATATTGGATTCGCGTATGTTCGGGGTGGGGGCGTTCCGATCTTTCAGCATGGAGTATGGATTACATTTGAGCGAGGATTTGCTTTGATTGTTGTTCGCATGGTTCTGGGGGGGAAAATGGACGCGTAGTAGCGGCGCAAGATGGAGTGTGGTCAACTCGTATCCAATTATGGGATATGAAGAATGTTCTGGTCTGATGGGCGATGAGCGAAGCATTGGACTGGGATTCTGGCTTGTGCATAGGCGTGTTACTATGCATCTTTAACGTAGATTATCTTGCGGTAGCTTGCACATAATCGATGTTTTCAGATAAGCCCCCCTTTGTCATTTGTGGCTGGCTAACCTGGAGAGTTTCGGTCTGTGGTACCCGGAGAGAATAAAGAGCAATGCGTTGAATGGGGATACTAATATGATACCATCGTCCATGTCCTTCGGAAAAACACGACTGAACCAAGGATGGCATTTCGAAGCGCCGACGACAGCTAGCTTCGAGAAGTACCTCTGCTTCCACAAACCTCGAAGCATAAGAGCCCGTTCGGCCACACGTCAATTACAATTCCACGGGTCCGCACAGCTGTAATGGACAGGGTGACCGAACGCCACTCACACGGTCCATTAGTCACTCGTCCATTACAACTGTACAGGTCCCGGTACTGGACCTACACAAGTCCGGTGCCCAAAACGCCAAGATCACATTCAAAATCGTTGTAATGGCCATCACTGGACCCATCATTGATTGTACCCTCGGAAGGAGGGAATGACTTAGAATAGTTAAGTTTAAAAAGTACTTCCGAACGGAAATAAGGAAATTCGCGTGAGATGTATTTTTCATTTTTTTGCAAGCGATCATTTGAAAATCTAATATTAAAATAAAGACTACAGTGCGTATACGTGTAGTTTCAAACCTTTTAATCCAAAGTAATAAATCGAGTGTAATTATGTAGAAGCAATTCACATCTCATTATCTATCAAATGATCACCTTTTAATGGCCAGTTGCAACTACCTGGCCGAACGCTATATACACAGTCCATTACTGACTGGTCCATTACAGCTACCGGGGCACTTGTATGATGAGCCTTCATATCTGTCATAAAATCGGAATGAAGCCTTGATGAATATTTAGATTGTGCACAAGCTAGGTAGCTAGCTAGCTATTCGTAGAAGAAACCATAAGGCAGAAAGAGACATTATAATATAGTATTCTATAAACCGGTGTTCAGAGCTGGAATCAGTCTGTTGTTGTGTAAATGCGCAAAGGAGTGCAGATCCGACACACGTTCTCGATGGTGGGATACCCTCTCGCGACTTTCAATCCATAGCGATGCGTTCAGGTACGTCGGAGGCCTTGAATACGCTGGGTCGTTCGTTCTGCTAGAAGGGATATCTATGTGTCTAGCCGTGAGGGCGAGTGAATCTTGGTCGGTTACGTTTTGGGGCTTGAGAAGGGTTATGATGGAGATATTAGCCCTGAAGCAGATTGGAGATTCGGGTTTATTCCACTCTACTCCACTCAATCTCACAAAGTGGCCTGCCTCTATCGAACTTTGAACCAGCGCCCAGATTCAGAACAGAACTTGCCACTTGGAGACGGTGTAGAGTATTCAAAGGCGGGACGACTGCCGCTGGAGGACGAAAGGCATGCACTACCCACACCGTGGGTTTGCCTATAAGTTCTGTTAGTGCTTTGCTTTGCTAGAAATTGGCATGAAAGCTCCCTGGTGGCTTAGGAGCTTTCGTCTGTTTCGTTTGCTGTTTTGATCTTCAACGTGAGCTCGATAGGGTGCGACTGTAGCGAGGTCGTGGTATACTCAACGCCGAAGAGATGTGATTGCTAGCTAGGCATATCATTATCAGTCGAGACTCTTTTTGCTGTCGAAGATCAGCTGCTGTCGAAAGTTATCCGGAATGAGAGAGTTGGCGTCGACGTCTCGGGCATCAGGAGGAAGTCCGTCACTCTCTGCTTTAAATTCTTCATAACGAAAATGCGGATGCCATCAGAAACTACGCATTGAGCCCTCCATATTGAGCACGCAGTGGTGATCGATAATTTTGACAGTAGAAAAACAGTTGTCGGTGCCAGCAAATATTCATGCACTACCCTCTAAAGCCTTTGGCTTCCTTTTAAGTTAGATAAGTGTAGATCACCAGATTATTTCTTTAACATAGTAGTTCGAGCACCAAGTAAGTAAGCAAGCATCCCGGAATTAAATCGTGAGTACCTGCCCGGCCGTACTTAATAGCTTTTCGATATCGTTTCCCGATGGGTATGGGTAGGCTTCAAAGAAGCTGGAGAGAATCTTATGTACTCTCTCCGGGATATTTGCAATTCTCGAGGCTATCGATGACGAGAAAGGTGCGCTTTCGCGAAACATTGACTTGGTAATTTCTCAGGCCTGTAACTAGTCCAGGTCCTTTTGGCAGTCTCTGTCTACATGAACTAAGGACCAGATTCCTTGATCACGGATACTAGAGGCATCTTCAACATATTTTTCACTTGGGTCGATACTTTCATTTTGATTTTTCCGGATTGGGGAGATGCAGACTCATGCGCTCTCTATTTAACAAATACTTTCAGACCACTACTTGCCTTTGATTTCTTTGGTTCTAGCCGCGCTGGACGAGGAGAATAGAGAGATATTCACAGTCAGGCTCGGCTTCGTGCGACTTGCTTGCTTGCTTGCCTGTGTGCAGCATTACGGCGAAGCGAGCATTTGTAAACACAGGTCCCGCCTGATACCTCTGAACATCAGTATGGGTTGAGATTTGAAGCATAGCAATAACACCTGATAGATAGCTTAGCTTGATACATAACAGTATCCTCTAATCGAATTTGACCCGTTGCCCATGGTGGCGTTCTTGCGTGAGAGATGTTTGGTCATCTGGGAGAGCGCGAAATGCGGTTTACATAAACATCTATATCGTTTGATTCCGAGTTAGGAGACTATTGAGGCAATTTTGATGATCAGAGTGTAAGCAGCTTGTACAGAAAGGATGAAGGTGTCGTTCTACTCCGCCTGAGGGTTGATACGCTCAACATCTCGGAGAGGGTGAGATCGGGACGGATAATAGGCGGATAAGCTGCCAGTAATGGTCAGATCGGCAAGAATATGGAGAAACAAGTAGCCAAGAGGCTACAGAGATTGAACTTGGGATACCTATTCGTACCCCTGATCGGAGCATAAGTCAGAAGCAGGATTGCGTTTCCTAATACTCTTTAATAATACGGTCAATTTTCAGTAATACAGTTGATTTTTTAGTGATTTTCTTTTACACGCAATTAATCATCTATACTCTGACTAAATTTAATGCCGAAACGAAGAATAAAATCGCTAAAGCTATAGCTTTTAGAAATTAGGGGGTAGCTCATCAATTGTTCACTAGAGCTCATCCATAGTTCGCGTAAATCTGCACCTTTATTAAGAACACCCCCCTATGTTTACTACAAGCACACAAACCACTAAAATTTCATACAGGAATCGTATTATCAATTTAATTATTATTGTAATAACTGAATACGCATTGCATATAGGGTTGTCGATAATAATAAAAGGTTTAAGTTTAGATTTGAACACTTACGCGAACTATGGATGAGCTCTAGTGTACAATGGATAAGGTTGTTCCTTGAAGAAAATCTGATCTTTAAATTAAACCGGGCACGATTGCCGCTAAATTTATCGTTCCTTTTCGTCAATTCAACGCGAAATTTATTAGCTGAAAACCATAAAATACATAAAGAAGATGTAGCAATGTTTTATCGAACATATAAATCGCAAGCTTGCGTAAAAATATATCCTCTTTAATATATATCAGCTACTAAGCAATAAAGTCCAATATTCGCGGCGCAGGAAACTTCTTTAACTACTCGATATCAGTATATTCTAATTATTAAAGCATTAGCGTCAAGAAGATATACATCATACGATTCAATATAGCAAAATCGAATATACGAAAATCGATTTGTTAAACGCGTACGAAAGAATTCGCAAAAAAAAAAAAAAAAACACTTCAGCTCCGCATCATCAATGCAGCGTAAAAAAAATGCCAGTCTTGTTTTTTTTTTTGCATATAAAATCGCATAAAATAAAATAAAAATCTTTTTTCGATGGGTAAATGCTTCTCGACGCCCTCTAGTTATTATTATAAAGCAAATGGAAGCTAATAATCGAAAGGGAAAGAGCTCAAGAGCTCAAGTCGAAGCGATTAAAAAAAAAGCTACGCGGCGCCAAAAAAAAGTCGCATGCTTAAGTACAATATTTCAACGTCTTTACTAAAGGAAAGGAAGCTGCGCAAGACGTACAAAAACATAAGTCTGTTCTGAGCGTAAAAGAAGAATAGGAAAAATCTATATCAAAAACGAATTTACGTCGCGAAAAACGAGATCAAGAACATCGTAAGCAAACTCGGACGTTAACGCAAGCCGCCGAGAAAAAAAAAAACAATAACAACAACTATGCCATTCGTTACTACGCAACCCAAATCAAACCTTCTTACTTGTCGAGCCAAATTAATTGATCGATTAAATAAACAATCACAGATAAATATAAGAGTTATAATAAAATGGGCGGCTATTTGAGTCAAGATACGAGGCTTTTAAAATAATCGACGCACTTTAAAAAGTACGCCGTATTTGCAAAAACCGATCGATCTATTGTTACTTGAGGCTATTGCAAATACAGAGGAAGAGGGATTCCAAGCTAGCGATTAAGAATTTTTTTTTTTCAAAAAATGTACAAATAAATATTCAAAGCTGCTTAATTTTTGAGATGTTTACTTGATCGAAGGTTGTTTGAATAGCGCCGCCGAAGTTAAAATACGATTATTATTGCGTTTTGAGATTCCCTCGACTCTTAAATCTTTTTTTAAAAGTGGGTTCACTATCGAAGAATAATATCATGGTTTATATTTTTTTTTTATTAAAATTTGTCATCGATGTATGTGTTGTAGAAGAGAGAAAAAAGTCACGAAAAAATTGATGGTATTATTGAAAATTGATCGTATTACTGAAGAGTTTTAGGAACCGCAAGCCTGCGTCTGACTTGTACGGTACTCCGACCAAGGGTGCGATTATGCTTTAGCTAAGCTCAATCTGTGTCTGTGGTTGATGAATGAGTACAGTACTGTACGTAGTACCGGTAGTAGTAGTACCTAGTGACTCGGCACCGGGGAGGTGGAACTTTTGCGGGGGGGAAGGGCTCGGTTAATTAAACACGGGGTTTAGCTTTCTACTTATCCCGCTTACTTGTACAATACCCGATGCTTGTGCGTGGTGGCATAAAATCGGCTTTTACCGTATCCGTATTTAGGAATTAGTTTGACTACCTAGTGATGGGATTGTTTGCATGGCTGGCGCATTCGACACGACCAAAAGCGCCTATCTCTACAGCCTGGATAGTTTCGGTATGATATTGCTCAGGAAGACATCGCCGAAGGATTTTATAACACTGGAAACGACGGGAAACGACTAAGCTATAAGCTACATCCCGTCTATACAGTCTATCATCTACCATCGACCATCAGTTCATATGCATACCACCTGATGCCTGGATACACTGTCCTGTAATCCATCTGCAAGAAGGCTCTGCCACCATGGCGATGGTAAGCGCGATATCTTCCGCCGTCGCGAGTCTGTGCTCCAGAGGGGTCACCGACTTCTGAAATTCTACCACCCGTGATCCTCCCTCACCGGCATTCGTCACAATGTCATCAAACATATCCGTTTCGGTCGGGCCGGGATTGACACTGTTGACCGTGTGGCCGAAAGCTCCAAACTCCGCTGCCCAACAACGCGTCATTGCATCCAGTGCACCCTTGCTGGCCGTGTAGACGGTTGTGGCCGGGAACCCGATCCTCCCGACTATCGAGCCGATATTGATGATGCGTCCCGGAGCCCGCAGATGAGGGATGACAGCCCGTGTCAAAAATATCGTCCCTCGAACGTTGACATTCATGATCTTGTCGTAGTCTTCCAAGGTGGCGTTGGCGAGAGGCTTCATGATCTCCACGCCGGCATTGTTGACGAGAATGTCGATGGAGCTTCCGAACGCGGCGACGGTCTGGTCCACAATGACTCGGGGGCTGTCCAAAGAAGCCATGTCCGCCTGGACCTTGATCGCATCGGCACCGTTGTTGAAGCCTTTGATCTTGGCGACGAGGTCATCGGCTAGCTTCTCACTGCTAGGCCTGACAAACGTGATCACAACCTAGGCATATTGTCAGATAGTCGCAAGTGATCTTAGGTGTTTGCATTGGTACCTTTGCTCCACGTTTGCCCAGCTCAAGGGCAGTAGCAGCTCCAATACCGCGGGACGAGCCCGTTACAATAGCCACTTTACCAGCAAGTGATAAGGTAGACATTTCGGAAGTGTGTCTCTGTTGTGGGATCGAGGCGGGGATGAGTCTGATTGACTGGCTGAGACAGAGGTTGTGAAGCCGTGTTTGGGTATGCGTGTATATGCTAAGAGATATGATATCGTTGAAACTTGAATCGAAATCGGGGGCATGAAAGTACTTTATATAAGTCCAAGAGCGTCCACGTCATACCGTCAGACGTCCAAGCTGAGTGAAGAAGTCCTCATTGTGACAACCTTCTCAGCCAGGAGGAGCCAAGACCTTGTGGTGCAGAAGGAAGATCCCAACGGCGTATAGATAATGTGATCTATTCCTAACCGCGAAACTGAACTTACAGTGGAGAAGTTGGTCATACTCATTATCTTATTTGATTTATCTCCCCAATTACACTCTTGGCTCAATACTCGCCTATTTCTTGCGTATGGTGCTTGCTTGTAACAATTTTTTCCAAGGATGATACATCCTCAAAGAGCGATGGAGTTTGTCGTGTACCTGTTTTAGGGCGCAGCAAGAAAGGGGGTAGGGGTCAGCTTCAGAGATTTGGTGAATGCCGGCCGCATGCCGCGTAGATCCATTCCTTGGTAATTTTGAACATGTAATATCAAGCCGTTAGTGTAGATATCAAGCTATTTTTACGCTTAGAGGTTATACTACGTCGCAGGCGTAAGTATTACCCCTCGAGGGTAGGGAAAACAGGGGTTTTAAAGTGGAAACTAAACTTTTAAGGCACCCTCGAGGGGTAATACTTAGGCCTGTACCGTGGTAACATCTGTGTAGCCATATATCTGGAACAGCCCTGACTTCCTCAATTAAACGAGCGCTGGACTACCGCAATGGTCAGGAAGACAGCAGCGAATTTGTTTGATACCAGGATCGCATTCCCAACAATACATAGTAGTAAGCCTCTTTTCCTTCCATCTAAAAGTAAGATTCCGACGAGGGGGTACCTAGGTACCGGTAGCTCATTGATGGTTTACTAGAGCTTATCTATACTTCGCGTAAATATACACTTTTATTAAGAATACCCCCTTATGTTTACTATAAGCACACCCACTATCCTCGAGTTTTAACGATTTAAGCCGTCCTTTATCCCCGACTACCACCCTCCTTTTATCGGCATTCCGAGATGCTTATCTATTGCATATGCTTTATATGTGACGCTGAATCTTATTAATTTTTCAAAGCCTTTACAGGTATTAATAATAATCGCACATTGTATATAATAAGCTCGTTCAACGTACGTGCAATATATAAACATACCGTAACAGTACCTTTAATTAAAGACGGCGGTCGTGGCAAGGATGGCGCGATAGGTGAAAAACTAAATAGACATTTTAAAAAGTTGTATTAGCAAAGGCGAAGATTGGTAAGTAAGTAGGAGGCCTAGATAGGTAGCAGTAGGTAGCAGTAAGTAGTTGACGGGAAGCGAGGTTCGATAGTTACTATCCGCCCTTATGAATATACTACGTCGCAGGCGTAAGTATTACCCCTCGAGGGTAGGGAAAACAGGGGTTTTAAAGTGGAAACTAGACTTTTGAGGCACCCTCGAGGGGTAATACTTAGGCCTGTACCGTGGTATGTCGGACCTAGTTTAGGCTTATAAATCGTAGAGCGGTGGTTTCTAATTGGCTCAAAGCTTTGTCAACTCAATTGCATACAGAGGTACAGCGGTGAAGTGTTGTAACCCTTGCTACTCCACAGCTACTATTCTAACCCAATTGAGCAATAACCCGGCCTTAAGCACGAAACCTTATAAAATCTTGAAAAGCCTTACGGAATAAGACTTTACTTTGTATTAAGATCAGGTTATCGCTCAATTAGAACACTTCACCGCTGTACCTCTGTAGTCTAGACTAAATACTGACTCGAAGATACTTTTTAAGGCTGGATTCTTATAAGTTGATTGATTTAAGCCTTGGTAAGATCCTTTGCAAAATTATACTTTCAACATGTATTTATACGTAGTACTATGTAGTACTTCTAGTACTATCACACCTCATGAATACATATCGAAAGTACAATCTCGCAAAGGATCTTACCTAGGCTTAAGCCAATCAACTTATAAGAATCCAGCCTTAAAAAGTATCTTTAGATTAGTACTTGATGTGTGCAATTGACTTGATAAGGCTTTGAGCCATTCAGAAACCACCGCTCTACGACTGGGCCCGACATGTATTCATAAAGGGGAGATAGCAGAGGGGAGAGTACTACAGCGGGAACTCTATGTGTAGAGGTATACCGGTAGCGGTGAAGTGTTGTAAACCTTGCTACTCCATAGCCACTATTCTAATCTAGCCTTTTCGAAAGCGCAATATCGTAGATCGTCCTAAACCTTCTTCCATCTCTCTCACCCCGCTCCCCTTCTATCGCAAATCCTCTTAGTATTTTCAGTCGGTATGCCCGTCAGGTATAGATCGTAGTCGGCGAAGTGGTCGAGGTAAGAGGAGGAGGCTCGTTCGGATCGCCGGTAAGAGGAAATCTCCTCGAAAGGCCGCCTTGAATCAGTTTCGGCTCTCCAAACTCTCTTTGCTGCAGGAAAAAGAGCTGAAGGTTCGTAGGGCGCACCTCGTACAGGTAAAGAATCGTAGCCCCGTGCACAATGATTGTAAGGGTCGAAGGAGCTGTGTTTATGGACTAGGTCACTCGTAGGCGACCTCCCATCTTCACCTTAAACTTTTTCTAGCCAAACCCCAAGATAGTCGTATTAAGTAAAAGAGCGTATCCATAAAAATAAAATACTGGATTAGGAATAGGATTATAGACTAAGCATATAATACGCAAGAGCCAGTTCCAGACTCTGCGCCTTGGATAACTGCAAAGGGAAGTCTAATCTCCACGTCATGCATTGCAGCTGCTAGCGGAAGTCTTGGGAAATATGTATTAGAGTATATACCACCAGGTCTATGGAGCTTGATCGATCAGCCCTTGAGCTTGAGCTGGTAGTAATCGGCCTAGTGAAACTTTAGCAGACCACTGGCCAGGAGATATCGAGACTATGCTGTAAAAAATTGGAACAGCAGCAAAGAAAACAGTGGCAACAGTCTCCTCCGCTTCCCACTCCATGCCGCGTAAAAGTATAAATTTTGAGGAGCGCGAAAATCAGAGAACAGAAGTATAACGCTATTCGGAAGTAGGTTTCTTCGAGATAAAGATAAAGGAGTAAAGAAGTGACTGGTTCCAACAACACTTTGATCAGATCTCGCGCGTGGGCGAGCTGATACGAGGAAAAACAGACGCTCTCGATCCAGCTATGCGTGTAAGTATATATACATCTTAAGGAAGTGGAAAGAGGAAAGCTTTGTATGAGCAACTCCATTCACTATGTACGGAGGATGGTCAGGCCTCCTGATTTGCAAAAGGGGAGACATAGGCGATCTTTTAAAGGGATAGTACAAACGGAGATGACAACAGATTTCAGCATTCAGGATTAATATCGACAACTAGTACACATTTTGAATCGCCAGTCACAGCATGCCAAGATTACCGTCAATATTGACCGCAAGAGAATATGGAAGCACAAAACCATTACAGAAAATAAATGCATGCATAACAATCAGAGACTGAAATCATAAATCATTTCAACGAAGCTGGAAAGAAAACCGGAAAAGAATGATAAAAAGGCCCACGAGTCACAGGTGCAATCACTCTCCCACGCCCACATAAGCCGAGCCACCTAACGCCCCCGTCCGCCCCCACAAAACAAGAATCTACATTCTTTTCAAGGTGGAAATATACTACGTACAGTATGCGAAAACCGAAAACCAGTGCCCACCCAGAGATCCTCCGAGTAATCTATAGAAACATAAGAAGACGGGAAAAAGGGAAGGCAAAGATAAATGGATAACCAAAGCCAAACAAAAGACAAAGACAGACAGAAAGGAAGTATAAGAAAAGTTTGCAAATTCCTTCCACCCATGCATCCATTCACTGCATATATATATACATATATATATATATATATATATCTATACGCCAAAACTAAACCCAGTAAAAGAGAGAATTCTTCCACAGGACTGGGACCCGAAGATGCAATTGAGCCGGGAGATGCAATGATAATGCAAATAAATAGCTATGAATATGAATTAAATATTGCTAGCATCACTATTAAAGTAATAGTCGTGATGGTCACGAGGAAGCTTTTAATAAGTGTGGTTGATTGACTTGTATTATCTGAGACTAAGAACTGGGGCGAGGTGGTAGTAGGACTAGTGCTAAGGCTGAAGTCCGTGCGCTGCCACTGGCTGGCCCGTGCACCCTCCTCTCCTTACACCTTACCTAACAACATGAGACATACCCACGGTACAGGCCTAAGTACGCGTAGTATTACCCCTCGAGGGTGCTTCAAAAGTTTAGTTTCCACTTTAAACCCCCTGGTTTCCCTACCCTCGAGGGGTAATACTTACGCCTGCGACGTAGTAACACCGCTGGCCAACGATACGAGACAACAGTATAGAAACAGCAGCAGTGATGGTAATTTGCCGAATCTGAGATGCAAATCCCCCCTATAGAGATAGAAAAGGCGATAAATGAGGAACAAAGGTTCCTGTGATGTAGTGTAGGCAACTAGCCTTCAGCTGCCGCTGGACCACAACTCGGAGTGGTTGAGTTGATGATGATATAAGGCTCTGGAAAAGATTTCAAATCGGCTTAAGTAAGTACAGTAAAGTTTGAGAGAGGTAGGGCTATGTGTATAAGTGTATATTCAAGATCCGGGGCAGAAGATCGAGAGGTGTTCAGGATCGAGCGCCAGGATGGAGGTGAAGAGAGCGCCGTCGATTGACGACCTTGATCGGTAAGGCCAGAATACGTAGGCGGTACTTGCTTACGGTCATGGTCGGTCCACGAGCCGAGTTGGACCAAGTGCCGAGGATAAGGAAGTAGGAATACTGCAAGACGGCGAGAAGAAAAGGAGGATTGAACAGATGAAGGGTGTCATTACCACCATCGTAAGTATTTTAACCTCTTAGGCACTAGCTAGTGAAAAACACAACCAAGAATCCGACCCAGCTCCCTACAACCCCTACAGCTGAATAAGTACTCACAAACATCAACGGCAGGAACTCCAACTTGCTGCCCCAGATGATCCCGTGCAGCAAGCTGCAGTATGCGATCAGAGGTATGCTGACGGCGATATACACTAGGCTAAATCGATCGAGCAGAAAGACTCTCCGTCCATTACTAGCTGGCGCTAGGCGATCAAACGCCAGCAGGAAGAGCACGAGCCAGAAAATGGTGTATACAGTCTTGATCGGAAATTCAGCCGCCGTAAAGAGCAGCGGGAACAGCGAGACATGACCCGCTACGGCCAATGGCCGGAAGGCACCCAAATAACGACGGTCTTTGAGAGCGATAAGCGAAAACGGGAGAAGCACGAGGAGGATGGCTTTTTCGTGGACGTGCCAGCCGAAGAGGAAAGAGGCATAGCCACAGAGCGTGACGGACCCGATGAAGATGTCCCATGTGGGGTTCAGGAAGAGCTTGATGAGGGGGATAATTTGGAAGAGGAGAGTTAGGAAAAAGGTTATTCGAGGAGTAATCTCGGGAAGGACAGCGAAGGAGGTGTTGCCCACCAGGCCACGGGTTACGCTTGTCAGGGCGTCTTGGTTTACAGAGAGCTTGAAGTAGGGCGCAGCTGTTTATGTTAGTTGGCGATGGTGAGATAGGTGAGGAGAACTACCGTATATCAAGATGCGGTCTGTGAAGGAGTAGATTGCCCATAGATTCGGGGCCCAGTATGCATGACACAGTCCTCTGGAGAAGGGGAACAATCTACCCAGCAGCTGCGGCATCTGATCCCAATATGCGAATGGACCGAATGTAGCGCCGAAAACAGCTATTATGCCTGTCCCTAGCTTCAATGCGTTGCCGAACTGGATGTGAAAGATTGACTTCGGGCCTAGACAATAGGCACGTAGTAGAAAGACGAAATATGCGGGCGCCAGATAGAGGTAGATGTGCTTCAAGCAGAGCAGGACTGCGAAGAGGAGTCCACTAGCTAAAGTGGTGGACTCCTTGCGTGCAAGGACCAGGGAAAGGAATAATAGGCCATACATGAATCCATTGTACTGGAAATGGATATGGTCTATGATCAGAAGGCCAGGCGAGAGCAGGATCGAGAGAGCGGCTGCTTGCGCCGGGCGCTTGAATGCCGGCGGGGAGGATTGTACGAAGCTTCAAATTAGCCGAGCCTATCTCGCAAGAAGATCCCTTTGGCTTACAGATGCAGCGCGTACACAAGAACCAGCTCTGTAGCGATCACACTCGCGCGTTGAAAGTATACCGTCTGCCAACTGTCGTAGCCCAGGTTAAACACCTTTGTCATCTCGGGATCGATCAGGGCGGCGCATTGCGACAGCAGCCATTCGAAGTATGCGAAGAAGGGCGGGTAGTCGAGAGTCCATTCGGAAGTCTTTTCAAAGTACCATTCTCGCACGGGGAGGCTGTTGGTGATGGCAAGCCAGTTTCGGTGGACCTCGAAGTCTGTTGATTTGCTGGGAGGGAGGGTGAATAGTCAGTAAGTGGTAGATCATGTATATTATAGTAGAGTGTAGTAGGGTGTAGTGAAGTGAATTTTAGTGTAGTGTAGTGTAGTATAGAGGGTAGGAGTGTAAGTGTGAATAGGTGTAGGAGTAGAAGTTGGAGTAGGAGCTTCTTACTAGGCGGGGAGAAGAAGCAGTTTGAATGCAGTGGCTACAGCCACGCACTGGGCTATGGAAGGATAGACGTCAGCCATTGAGACATGTCTTGGGATTAGGATTGGGTCTGGAGTTGAGGAGGGCGTTGGGGTCGTGAAGGGGAGGGCGGGTTTGTACGGGAGATGTTGTTCAAGTCCGGGTCGAATAATTATATTATATTGCCAGCAGTCACCGCCTTGGACTCTAGGTTCTTCACCCGAGCCCGACTCGCGAATGTTCAACAACAACAGCAACAGCCACAGCAACAGCTCTACCACTCTATCACTCTCTACCCTCACCCACCACACCCATATCCACATCCACATATACCTCCCGCCCCATCTCACTCTCACTTTCAATCTCACTCCCACTCGAATATCATGGACGCCGCCTTCATCCCCTCAGAACTCGTCGTCAAGCACTTCGTCACGCATCACTTCGTACTCGAACTCGGCCCGTCAATCATCCGCTTGGGCCGTCCCCTCCGCAACGCCGTCTTCGCCGCATTGGCGTTTTTTGTCGTCGGCGATCTTGTTCGCGCGTCTGTGCAAGCTGTCCTCAGTCGGAGTCGGGGAAACAGAAAGTCTAACGAGCTCGATTGATACAACTTGACACCGGACAGTTCGCTCTTCTTCTCTTCTATTCTTTTACTGAACAAATAACTTGGACGGACAAAGAAGTCAGAAAGAAAGACGTTGATGGTTTTCTTTGTGGCTACCGAACCTTACTTACATTTCCCAGCCCTACACTAACCTACTGATCTACCGACCTACTGGTAGCTGCTGGATCAGTGGAATAGAGAGAAAGTCAACAAACACAACCTGGGTTATCCTACTAGGTATACTACATACATACTCTTACCCTCACTACTACCCTCACTACTACCCTCACCCCCTCTCACCTACAACGCCACCCAAAGTCATCATGCATCTCAATGCGCCTCTTTCGTCCCTTACTTCTGCATCCGCCCTCCTCTTCACCTACGCCCAAGCTACATACCTGCACAATGACTTGAGTTTTGGTCACAACAATGACAGGTAACATATCTCCAGCATGAACAAACCTCTGGACTAACGCAATCCAGAATATCTCCCAACTCCGACTCCATCCCCAACTGGCAACTCCTAGGGAAGCCCTCACCCCCCGAAATCCTCTCCAACAAGCTCGTCCTCACACCCCCTGCGCCCGGTAACCAGCGCAGCGCTGTTTGGGCCGAGAAACCCCTCGAACATCAATTCTGGACCGTTGATCTGGACTTTAGAGCGACAGGCCCGGAGAGAGGGGGCGGCAATCTGCAAATTTGGTATGTGAAGGATGGCAAGAGCAAGGTGGGCGCAAGCAGTATCTACACGGCCCAGAAGTTCGACGGGCTGGCATTGGTGGTAGATCAGTATTCCGGATCTGTATGCACTCCCTTCTCAAACCCCAGTTGCGATCCATGCTCTCCATAGCCTACACTGACAGGTCACAGGGCGGTATCATTCGAGGGTTCCTTAACGACGGCACCACAGACTTCAGCCACCACCACAACGTCGACGGCATGGCCTTCGGCCATTGCCCGTACTCCTATCGCAATCTTGGGCGTCCCTCGCGCATCACGATCCAGCAATCGTCCAAGAGTTTCACAGTCTCCGTCGACGGCAAGGCGTGCTTCGAGTCCGACAAGGTGAAACTCCCGACTGGCAACGACTTCGGCATCACAGCCGCCTCGGCCGAGCACGCGGACTCCTTCGAAATCTTCAAGTTTGTCACCACTACAGAGACCCATACCCCGGAAGTCGTAAAATCAAGCGACCAGAAAGTCCTGGCAAGCGACGACAAGCCCGCTGCAGCTGCGCCCGCAGGCGACATCCCCACATTCGACTACCCGCCCGACGCACCCGCGAGCCAATTCGCCTCCTCGGCCGAGCAATTCGCCGACCTGCATAACCGGCTTCAGAGCATGATGAAGCACATCACCACAAGTAACGCCGCCGCTATGCAATGGCAGATCGAGACCGCCAAGAGCCTCTCCAACCTCGCTGATCGCGTCTCCGAATCGCTGTCCCGTTTGGAGTCCTCCTTGGCCGAGCTGCATACGCTCAGCGATCATCTGGATCTCGTGCGAGAGGATGTGAAGCAAACGAAGGAGGAGCTGCACAGTAGTCTGGAGCAAGGGGTGAGCACCCTGAAATATCAGTCGGCGTCATCGCATTTCGATATGGAAAGGCATGTGGAGTTGACGGCAGCCAAGGGCTTGGGTCTGTGGGGGATGCTGGGCGTGGTGGGCGGCAGCAATGCGGTGTTGGCTGCTGCTTACGCGTTGTACAAAAGGAAGAAGGGGAATAGTCATATGAAGTATCTGTGAGGGCAGGGGATTTCTTCGAGGGAGGGATTCTGGCTAATGGTGTGATATTATTGGCCTGGGTTGGCTAGTCTGGTGATTTCGGGGAAAATGGATAGGGGAATGAGCGTGTATAAGACGACAGAGACAAAGCCCGAGAGATCGGAGAGCGGCGTGTAATATAAACGCTTGGGATCGGGACTGGCAAGGAAGAGAAGTGGAGGTCAGGAGGCCAGCCTATATGCGTTTGTTTTTAGAAGAGAATTTTCGCATGTAAGCTTGGCCGAAGCGCTCTCTCTAGGGGCGATACAAAGATGAGGAATAAAAGAAATAAACAAAGGATATGAGAGTCTGGGGTGTCAAATTGTTAATGAATTTGGTGAGCCATTCTAATAGTCAGTACACTGACTATTACATCTCAACTCAAGTCAGCTCTACCCTACCCATTCCATTCCATCTCTAATGTGCTAGGTATTTCATTCTGCCTCGCGTTCTTTTCTATTTCTCTCCCCCACTCACTTCCCATGATATGATGATACAATACACAAATATTATACATATACAGTTCCCTTTTCCCTTTTCCCTTTTCCCTTTTCCCCTCCCCCTTCCTCTGTTCCCTCCTTTCTTCCTTTCTTCCCATCTTCCCAACCTCAAAGGCAGCTGGGCTGGCTGATAGAGAATAGAACAGGGAACGTTTAGACAGACAGACCATGCAAAGACGAAGACATCTCTTTGTTTTTGTTTTTTTTTTTAAAAAAAAAGAAAAGGCCTCCCAAGACATGTAGGTAGCTATATATGAAAATATACTTAGATATACCTAAATACATACACCTAAATACATACATAGAATTATATAAATTAAAATTCGTGGACCGGTGACTGGTGGCGCACCCAATGAAATTCAACCTCTAGATCCGTGAATCTTGAATCGGAAAAATAAAAGGGGATTTTTGATGACGATGATGACGATGATGATGATGATGATGGTGGTGGTGAACGTGATGATCATGATATGATAGAAAAAAGAGGGTGGGAGGTGAAAGAATGTACAGATGTTGATAATCTGGATTTACTTCGTAATGGTTCAATAAAGCTCTTCGTTTTTCGTAAAAAAGAACTGTCCCCGAAACGTTCATTACGCTCTAAATTACCGTCATTGAATCTTCCCTAGCCCCTTCTCTAAAGAATTTTATGTCATTAAGAATACAGGGCTCGTAAGTGGTACTTTACCCTTGAAAAGAGTATCAGAAGACCGTTGAAATGCGCCCCCCCTCCCCCTCCACATGCTTGTAAGGTATCTTCTACACTTCCCCTTCGGACATCTCTTCTTCTCCCATCCATCCATCCATTCTCTCTCCACTCTCGCCAATCCCCACCCCTGGGCCCAACCAATATCAGATATAGCTAACCTTCACTCCCATTCCCGCCGTACTCCTCACCTTCCCCCATGCACCGCCTATCAGCTTCTTCAGCCTCTCCTTGACACCCTGCCGACTGATCAACACCAGGAAGCCAATCAAGAACGCCAGGAATTGCATCAAGAACAGCGGCCGCGTCTGGAAGTTCCCCGCCATGCCCGATACCAGTCTCTGAATGTTGGAGATGATGTTGCCGGCTCGTTTGAGGAGCGTAGGCGGGATCTTGGCCGCTGTGTTCTTAGCTGGCCGCGACGTTGGCGGGGATGCAGGATTCGTTTTTTTGCCCGAGGAAGGGTACGTGCCTTTCGAGGACCCTTTCGCAGAGGCTCGAGATTTCGATGATCCCGGTCGCGGAGTTTCGTCGACGCCATAGTCGACTTCACTCCCCGCTACACCTCCCTTCTTCCTCGCCCTCCGTAGCCGTTCTTCGTCTTCTCTCCTCCTCTCTCTCTCTTCGCTCTCGATGCGCCGCCTCCGCGCATCTTCAATGTCTCTCTTCAACTGCTCTTCCTGGTACCGCCTCTCTTCATTTTCTCTACGTTCCGCTTCAAACTGCTCTTCCTTTAAGGATTGCAGCGCCTGTAAGAAGGCTTCGCGGCGCTCCTCGTCGAGGACCGAGGAGATGGTTATGAATTCACGGGCGTAGTCCCACTCGTTGTTTCGCAGTAAGACGTGCAGGGTATAGAGCTCGAGAATTTTGACGCGCGCTGTCAGATCGCGGGGAGTGTCTGTGCCAGAAGCATTCTTTGCTACGGATGGCCGCCGCGTCGAGACATGAGGGTCGGAGGAAGAGGGGATTTGCGAGGGGATGGTGGGGTGAGAGGAAGTTGCGAGATAGGTCTCGAGCCGGGCTTGGTTGATTTTTTGCGAGCGGGCGTGGGCTAGAAGAAGGGTTGCTCTGTGGTGGTCGTCAGTACAGATTCACACCGGGGATCTATTCCATAGAAGAGAGCAGACGAACAAGTTTATCACAACATCCGAATCCACGTCCCCTTCCACTCCCCCATATCCATCCCTTACTACGTCTTCCCAGACCTCACCGTCGCGCACCTTCTGCACCAGCGCCCTCCACTCGGCGCCCCCGAACGCCAGCTTCCCTTCCTCGGGATCCAGCTCCAGCACTGCGTTCAAAATGGTCAGGTATAAGCTCCACACCTTGACTCTGGTCGTCTTTCCGGCTTTCGATACGGGTGCGGCGTCGAGTACTGCGCCGGGGTTGTTCTCGTCGGGAGGAGATGTGATGACTGGGAGGATCGTAGAGAGGGATTCGGGGAGGCGCCGCGTCAGAAAGAGCGTCGAGGCCTGTCGGTAGATTTTGGATATATGGGAGGTGGTTTGCCGGGTTGGGGAGGAGAGGGAGGAGATGGAGGAGGTGAGAATTTGGGAGGGAGTCGAGGTTTCTCGTGTGGGCGCGAGGGTTGGCGCGCTGCCGGTGGATGTCATGATGATGTTGGATTGGTGGGAGGGCACGCAGACATTTGGAAAGGAAATGAGATGAAAGTACGAAGGGAGCGTGGGTGTGGGTGTAGGTGTAGGTGGTGTGGGTATTTGTTGTCTCTGGTGAGGTGGCTGGCATGGACTGGACTGGACTGGACTGGACTGGACTGGACTGGACTGGACTGGACTGGACGGGGCTGGACAGGACAGGACAGGAATGGAGTTCGCGATGTTTATGTTGATGTGACACGGGACTCGGAGGTTGAGGAAGAAAAAGAAGCACCTCGGCTCAGATCTCGGGTCTCAGGTCCGAGGTCCGGGCTGGCGGGGCGGGGCGTTGTTGACACCGGCGCGGACAAACATTGATTCGGTCAAGCAGCAGTAGCAGCATCAGCAGCAGTAGCAGCAGCGGCAGCAGCAAACATCGAACTACGTACAACAGGAGAAAACCAACCAACCGTGCAAATAAATGTTGGATTGATTTGGCTGGCTGGCTGGCTATAAAAGCTATTGCCCTCAAGAGAATTCGACGAGGAAGGAGAAGAAGGGAGGTCCTTCTTTTCATTTCGCTTCGCTTCTCGAATTGAAGTGAGGTGAAGTGAAGCTATTCACAACCGAGTTAGGGCTAACTTTCGTCGGTTTGTTTGAATTTGTGATTGGATGCACTCTACGACCTCTACGGCTCACCTTCACCTTCACCTTCATGATTCAGTGTATCTGTGCACAACCAATCCATCCTTCCTCATTCGGCCGTCGTCAATCGTTGTGTCGCTTAGTGTCCAGCTGGATTTACTAATACAACACTACTTTACTTATCACGCTCGCCTTCCTCCCTCCTCCCTCTTCTCTCATCCAGCACAGGATCAACATCAACCTTAACATCAACATCGAGACCAACATGGAGATCGACCAGGCTCACTTCCGCCCGCAACTCCTGTCCATCCTCCAGCATATTGCAAATGCCTCCTTCGTCACTTTCGACCTGGAGATGAGCGGTATCAGCACTCGGCCCAAGCACTCCACGGGCAATCGTACTCACGATGTTGGCAAACCCAGTCTCCAAGCCCAGTACGACGAGATGCGCTCTGCCGCCGAGACTTTTCAGGTCCTGCAAGTCGGCATCACCTGCGTAGAAGAGGATCGCGACAAAGGTAAGAGCCACCGACCGGCCTTCTTTCTTGCTTATAACCTTTCATTTGAAAATGTCTTATACCACAAGCTTGCTGACCGAGAATATCAACAACATCTAGAGTTCTACCTCGCCCGTCCCTTCAACTTCAACCTCACGCCTCTGTCGGCCGACGGCGTGGATCTCCGACTCGACCGCCAATTCACCTTCTCAGCCAGTGCCTGTGACTTTCTGAATCGGAACCGCTTCGACTTCGGCAAGATCTTCAGCGAGGGTGTCCCGTACTTGTCTCGTGACGAGGAAGAGGAGCGCAGAGAGGAGTACGCCCAACGAGCGAGCAAGAATGCTGCGATCCCGGATATCGTCATTGGGCTAGAGGATGTTGCTACCTTGGAGTTTTCGCGCACGACCCGCAAGGCTATTGCTGCCTGGGCCAAGGACGAGAAGGTGTGATCCTCTCTTTTCTCGATTTTACTTCCCGTCTGCTTTACGAAGTCTGGCTAATGCTTGTTGTGCCTAGGCCGAGTATGCCTTTTGCAACATTGGCAATGATGCTGGGCCCATGAATGCTTTCCAACGCCGCATTGTCCATCAGATTGTCCGCAATGAGTTTCCAGCTCTCAGAGTATTTGCTCGCAATGATGGTCACTTCATGCAGGTTGAGAAGCTGGACGTGGAGAGAGAGGAGAGCGTAAGTTTGGCTGTTTGGCTTCAACAATTTTTGGCGGGCATTTTTTAACATGTCGCAGTTCCAAAGGAGACAAGCTACTCGCTTCAACGCCTCGATTGGCAAGCAAAAAGGTGCGCTTTCTCTCTCCGCAATCTAATTACCGGATACTAATCCTCGCAGGCCTCCGCTGGATCTTTGAAGCCCTAGCTGGCGGCGACCTTTCCGGCATTGACCCAGAATGGTTCCGCGACAAGTCCTCCCCTAACTCCGAGTCCGATTGGAAGCGCGTTCAATCCGAGCTCGCCACCGTCACTACCACCCTCCGCACCCACCGCCCCTTGATCGTCGGTCATAACCTCTTCGCCGACCTTGCTTTTCTCTTCAGAACCTTCGTCGGCCACCTTCCTGTCAACGTCAAGCACTTCCAAGAAGATATACATGCCCTCTTCCCCCGCGTCATCGACACCAAATACGTCGCTACTTACAACACCGACGCTATGAACCCACGTGTCGGCCTCAAGGACCTTCTTGCTCCATTCAGAAAGACGCATACCCCGCTGATTGTGTTGCATGAGAATCATACGGCGTATGGCGCTGGCTTTGGCAAGGAGCACGAGGCGGGCTTTGATAGCTGGATGACGGCTGAATTGTTTGTTAAGCTTGCTGCGTCAAAGGTGCCTGTGCAAGCCACCACTCCCTCTGCTGCTACCTGCCCGCCTCCTCATCCCTCTTCTAGCTCATCCTCGGATAACGACTCTGACTGTCATGGTGGTGGCGCAATGCTGGGCGGCCACCAACCTCCCGCTTGGCATGCGGCCAAGCTCAACGGGGGCAAGAAAAAGAGCAAGAGCAAAAGCAAAATCAACAGCAACAGCAGCAATATCAGTACCAGCAACCCATTCTCTGTCCTCCTGAACAGCAAAGACGACGATGATACAGATGAATCGAACCCGAAGCAGTGGCTTCCGTCATTCGAGGATAAGTTCTGGCATATCTATATGAACAAGCTGCGGGTTAACGCTAGTGAGGGCGGAGTATGTGATCTTGAGGAGAGAGAAAATGATGAGCGACTCGATGGCTTGAGGAGAAAGTTCAAGAAGGCTAGTAAAGCATGATCTTTTGAAATGCGTGTGATGGGTTGCGAGGCGTTGCATAGGAAGGGATTGGCCGGTGGGGTGGGGAGAGATGGATTTTAGAAGTTGAGGGCTACGCATGGTGGCGTTCAGAGTGGGCATTGTGATGGCGTTGATCACGGTACCGCGAGTTGCATTGCGTGCGGATTTTCCTAGCACGTTCTGGTATTCCTCATTGGAAGGGAATATCTGATAACTAGAATGGGATATCGAGATCTTTTTATTTATCTCAGAAATCCATTCATTCACTCTTCATTCTTTTCTGGAGGTGCTTTGCTTGAGCCTTGCTGTCGCCTAAAGTTATAGACCCCAACCATTATCGTGCTCAATCGGCGAACGCCCTGCAGCAGGAACACGGTTCATACACAAAAGTGACGCCATTTATAATCCGGTAGGTCAAACGCCGACTCTAAAGTCTCGGGAAGTTTCGATATTGGATGATCGCTTGAAACCATGGACAAAATCGTCTGCCGCGCCCAGTTACTCCAAGTCGTCTGTGGGTTCAGCCACTCGAGCGGCATCTGCTCAGTCCACGTTTCCTGCTCAGCTTCCACGATCTTCCTGAACTTGGCATCATATCTCCATAACGCCTCCTGCGGATCGTCCATATTCAGCCCAATCTCGCCAGCCAAAACGTATGCCCCAATGACTGCCATTCTCGTACTCTGTGCAGTTCCAACCGAAGGACTGAAAGCTGCATCACCAACGAGCGCACAACGGCCGTTGTACCAAGCTGGCAGCCTCACTTGCGTCATTTGGTCTGTATGGAAACTTTTCGTGGACTTCATGTGGTGAAGGATTCGTGGGAACTCTCCGTAATCCAGGTCGGAAAAGGCTCTGACCCATGCTTCGCGCTTGGCTCTATCGTTGCTGATGCTCTGCAAAGGAGCTAGATCTGGGTGGTGACCGACGGCGATGAGCCATACACTAGACACGGTCTCCGTGATCTGCTGGATGAAGAGACAGCGCGCCTTGGTGGCGTAGCGCCAGCGATTCGCAAGTAACGAATCTTGGGACTCGGCTGGGATCAATAATATAGCGGCAAACATGCTTGGAGCGGCCAGCTTGATACATTCCTTCAAGTCAGCTGGATGTAACATTAACTCCCGAGTTTTTGACCGGACTCCGTCTGCACCAACGGCAATATCATAAACCTCTTCCACACTTCTTCCACACTTCTCCTGAATCGTGACAATCAACCTATCAACCTCTTCCTCGATCCTGATAACCTTGCGTTCATACTGTACCTTCACCTTTTTCTCCTCTTTGATAATCTCCGACAATACATCGCACAGCTCTTCCGGCAGGCTTTGCGGTTCGTTTGATGGACCACCTTCCCTGGGGATAGCATTATCACATTGTGGTTGAATTTTGGCATCGATACCTCTGGGATCTGTCTTAATGGTCTTTGCGTAATGGAACAAATTCTCGAGGAAAGCAAGAAGTCCTTGAACTTCGAACCTTTGGTCTGAGGTGGCGACCGAGGAGGCGCGTTCGATCATGGTGATGTGAATCTGTCTAGTCGTATCGATGCGGGAGAGCCAGTAGGCTAGAATAGGACCAGCAACACCACCCCCAGAGATGAGGATGCGGAAAGGCTTTGGCATGGTGGGAGGTCGGCGATGGCTTGGCAGAAATCGCTTGCTGGATTCTCGAGAAGCTGGATTTGGCGTCCAGGAATTGGCTGCTGAAGTGCAAGGTTTCTGGACTTTAACTACGAAAAAAGAATTTTGAGGTGGAATTGGATGTCAGGTACTCGGGAATTTGCGAGGCTGCAGTGAGCCTTGAGCCTCCAAATATCCCTAACGGGCAGGAGCGACTAGTCAGCAAGCAGAGCCGCTTCGATACATACAGAGAGGGAAAATAGCCATCATTAAAGCAAATATCGAATTCGACATAACAGATAAACTTGAGTAAAGAGCGTGGCCTAGAGGACATCGATCGTCGCAGCTTATACGTAAGTCCTGAAGAAGAAGCTTCAATAATTAAACAGTTCTCAGAGGCGACCTACACGTGACGCCCCTTTTCATCTCTCGTTTTCGTAAGACTTTCCTTTCCTATATGGAGGGGAGAGAAGGACTTCCTTCCATTTCCTCAAAAGACATCGAGAGAAGAAGCACGAGGTAATTTCGATTAGGGGATTGCATTGGCCATCCACTTATACTCCCGCTAAAAAGGACAGCCGGTTCGAGCAAACGGTTTTGATTTCAGCGACTTCACAGATACTTAAAAGGTGTGATTGCATAGCATGATATATATGACGTAAGGATAAATTAAAGTAACTCTAGGCGGGAAATGGCATACAGCTAAGTAGTGAAGAGGCCGGCCTACCTCTAGGGGTGGTAAGAGTGCCAAACTCCAGCAGAGTAACAGCAGGAAAACAGCCGCTGCCAGATATGTAGGACATAAAGGTATCATCTGCCAATATTATTAAGAGAGTCAAAGATAAGGTGGTGAGTGCACTTGCACCGAATACGAGACAATGTACCACGCCGCCCTCCCTTGTCAGTGTTAGCACAAGAGCCGCCACGGGTATCTTCAACATCTCCAATTTGATCGAGCACATTTAAAATAGCTACTGTAGTTAGATGTCCTCATCCTTCATCTTCTTCGGGATGGTCCCTAAATATAGCCAAGCCAGCACTCCCACGAAGGCGCATATCCCCGCCATAACAGCGTTCATATTCCCGTACCCAATCCTCTCCCTCAAGCATCCGGCAATCAGAGGCCCGATGGTCAGCCCGGAACTGAACGCAATACTGCTCAAGGCATACAGCTGTCCATACGGCCCGTTGTTCCCGAAAAAGCCCTTATTCGCGGCATGGTACTGATCGACGACATAGCTAGCAGCCACGAGGGGTGGCGCAGAAATCATAGGGACTCCTACACCGATCAAGCCGAGGCAGCAGGACATCTTGACAACCTCGGCAACGCCGCCAGCGTGCGGGATACGCAGGAGGACGAGAGGGATGGTGATGAATGCGAGGCCGATGGTGGCGATGGGGCGCGGGCCGTATTTGTCGACCGCTCGGCCAGCAAGGGGACCGACGATAAAAGAGGGCAAAATTTGGGGGATAAACAACATTCCCGCTTTCAAGGAATCGAAGCCGAAGAGTTTTTGAGCTTCGATGACAAGCGTGGAGTCGAGAACAGCGAGCAGGGTGGCCTGTGTCAGAGACACGAGCTGGGATACCCAGAGACGCTTATCCTTCAAGCAGTAAAGGATAGGGAGGCTGCGGACCCAGCTAGGTTGGTCCTCCGGGTGTGGGATTTTCCAGTCTTCGAGTTCTTCTTCTTTGGTTTTTCCGTTATCCAGGAGTGGTGACGTTTCGCTCTCGCTCTCGTTCAAACTCTGGCTGTCGTTCGCGATACCGTACGCGGCCGCAGTTTTCTTTTCGATAACCATCAAGCGCATGATGAAGTCGACGACCAGCAGCGCGACTCCGATGCCGAACACTGCGATCGAGCCTCCCTTTTTATATACGATGCCTCCCAGAGGTGGAGAGGCAAGTTCCCCAACACTGATAACGCTGAATATGCTTCCAATCACCACTCCGAGCTGCGCAGTACCAACCGTGTCGATACAGAGCGCTAGACCAATTGTCCACACAACCGAAGCGCTCATCCCTTGCAAGAGACGGGCTGCAATGAGCATAGGTATGCTTCGTCCCCAAAATAGCATCCCCGTACTCGCGAACATCGCCGCGAGCCCAAACAGGAACGGCGGTTGCCTCGATGGAAGCTTATCCGCAATGTACCCTGCCACCAACGAGAAGAGCACCTGGGCCCCGGCGTAGCACGCGAGGAGGAGGGACGTATAGTACTGGACTTCGGAGTGCGGGACGTGGATCTTGTCGAGGAGAATGAAGGGAATGATGGGAACGATGAGGCCGTAGAGGAAGAGATCGGTGAACATTCCGATGGCCACGGTCGCGATGATGAATCGCTTATGGGACCGCCATTTGATGCCACGGGGGATGTGACTTCCCATGATAATAACTATCTGCGAAGAACATAAGTAAGCTTCCTGAAAGCCCCAAGGTTGCGGCGTTGGACAGGTACAACCATAATTCCGAGGTAATTTGGGAAAGCGGGGGATTCAGTACGCTCTACCTTGTTGATTCAGATATCCGGTGGAAATTCTGATCTGTGGCTGTTCCTATAATTCTGGATAATGCCATCTGTTTCTGGCGCAACTGTACGAGTCTGATAGATATGTGTATTGTGGTGTGATGGAGCAAGTACGGTAAATTTTGAATGGTGTTTTGGTACGTTGTGAGAGAGAAATATCAAAGAAGGGACAATTGGCTTTTTGGTTTCGGGACGAGCCGCCGCTTAACTTGAGATGGTCAAGCTTCGGTGGAGTGAGTCGCTGGCATGTATGGAGGGAGTACCGGTACTTATCACAGATATTGCCTGTTTTCCCAAGTACTTGAATTCGAAAAATGAGAAATGAAAGATTTGAGAGTTCTAAGGCTTCTCATGAATGCTTTAGTCCTACAAAACAACTCTGAAACCAGTTTGACGCTTGATGGTCCCGACCTCCACCGGCAAGGGGACATTGTCAGAGCTCTACGGTGACTATTTTCCCCCATTCCCTCTCTTGCTTCGTTGCTCTCGGGGTGAATAATAGTTATCATTGACCAGGCTCGCTTACCAAGAGTTGTTTACTTTACAGTGTGCTTAACGAGAGAGATCTCCGAGACAAAGAATGTTTGTTTGGACTTGTGCCCAGTGGCGGCCGCCGGGATTGAATTCCGTGTAGATCTCTCTACCCCACTTTCCACAATCAAATCTGGGGAAAGCGAGCATGAAAGCGAGAATTGAGAATTATAATTTACATAAGTATAAGAAGAGCCTTGTTCGCCTGTATATCTCTATCATACCTTTCCCAATAGAATCCCCGGCCCCTTTGTGTTTGTTATATGATGGCCACCTCAACTTACACGGTCACTCAAGCTGAGTTGAGCAATGCCGATCAAGGCATCGAGCTCCGAACGTTTGCTCCTCCTCGGCACTCTCCTGAGAGAAAACTTGGCACTTCAGAGATCGAAGAGCAGAGACGAGATTTTGATGCATCCATTCGAGCTGTTGAGGTCAGACAAAAATGGAATTCTCCTGGTGGGAACAAGTGGAGAGTGTTCGCGACGTTCTGGTCGTTTTTCATTGTTGGGATGAACGACGGTTCCTATGGTGTACGTGCTACGCTATCTTATACCCAGACATGATGGCATATATTGATGCAGAATACAGGCCTTGATCCCACATCTGGAAACATATTACGATCTCAACTATACTATTGTTTCTCTCATCTTCCTGTCTCCATTCGCAGGCTACTCGCTAGCGTCAACTCTCAACAACCTCATCCACGTCCGATTTGGACAACGGGGCGTTGCTTTCGTAGGGCCATTGTGTCATCTGATCACTTACATCGTGGTTGCCATCCATCCGCCATACCCTGTCCTAGTGGTGATGTTCGTCTTCGTCGGATTCGGCAATGGACTCATCGATGCGGCTTGGTGTGCCTGGCTGGGCAATATGGCGAATGCGAATGAAGTTCAGGGCTTCCTTCAAGCTTCGTACTCGTTGGGGGCGACAATAGCGCCGCTCATCGCTACGGCTTTGATCGAACAGACTAGCCTGGCATGGTATGGGTTCTACTATATCATGGTAAGCAACTGTATTTGCCTCGGGAGGTATGGTCGTTGACTGGAGATAGATCACCGGATCTGCAGTCGAACTCGCTACGTCTTCTTTCACATTCCGGAAACAGACAGGAGCGGTATACGAGGCCGAAAACCCACGAGATCCAGACTCCAAAACCGGTCGGACCCGAGAAGCGCTCAAGTCGAAAATAACCTGGCTCTTCTGCCTCTTCATCTTTGGATACGTCGGCGCAGAAGGTAAGAATCTCCCAGCCCCCTTCCCTGAAACCTCGAGATACTAACGTATCAAGTCTCCCTGGGCGGCTGGATCATAACCTTCATGTCCAAAGTTCGCAACGCGACGCCCTTTGCGTCTTCGGCAACCTCTACAGCATTTTGGGGAGGCATGACCCTCGGCCGTCTCTTCCTCCCCCTCCTCACATCTCGCCTGGGCGAATACCCCTCCGTAATCGCATACCTAGCTCTTTCCTTCGCCCTCGAACTCATCTTCTGGCTCGTCCCCTCGCTCGTCGTCTCCGCCGTGGCCGTCGCTCTCCTTGGCGTCTTTATGAGCCCTATGTTCCCTACCGCCATCGTGATGGTAACGAAGCTGCTGCCCAAGGACCTACACGTGGGATGCATTGGGTTCGGGACTGCGTTTGGGGGGAGTGGAGGCGCCATATTTCCCTTTATCGTAGGAGCTATCGCCCAGAGTAGGGGGGTGAAGACGCTGCAGCCGGTGATTCTGGCGCTGTTGGTTGCCATGACTGTTCTGTGGGCGCTGTTACCCAGGCCGAGGGGAAAGGGTCATGAGAAGGCTAGAGATGGAGAATCAACGCCGACGGCACTTAGGGGAGAGACCATGTGATTTCTTTTCGGGAAGCTGAATGGCGTGCGTAGATCCGGTCGATTGCATGAGATACCGTGCACCTGCTGATACATATCTGCTTCTATACCCACCAGGCCGCATAGGCTGCCTCGAAGCCGCTTATAATGCATGCCATTACATCGTACCTAGCGAAGAAATTATCTAGATCTAACATTGCTTTACTTCTAAAACTTCGCAGCGCTCACAATTTAGATAGACTATCGTCAAAAGCTACAGGCAAAAAATGAAACAAGATAAAAGGGTAAATTACAGATATATTCTCGGCTAACACCGTCGCAGGAATAATCCTACTTCGTTTCAGCAGCTCCGGGGAAAACTCAGCGATTTCGCAGAGTCATAAAAAAGATGCAAGGGTTGGTAGCGGTACTGTAGCGGCACGTCCGGGCATGCCAGTCGCCCCAAAAATACTTCGAATCAACCTTGCTCTTGGCCAGGCAAATCCAGCAGAAGACCTGCCCGCAGCAACCTACGCACTCAGCGTGTTAGCGAAGACTCGCGCGATCTTCCTTCTTTACTATGCAAAGGATGGCTTGAAAGCCTTGGGGATGATGGATCCCGATGTACGTACATTCCATCTCGTCGCAGCCAAAGTTCTTCATGATCGCACGACAACAGCCAGGGCATTCCTTGACGTTGGAATTCAGGAACTCCTCCGCGGCGGCCTCCTCGATCTTGATGCGCGCAGCGGTCTGCGCCGGGGTCTCCTCCGAATTATGGTTCTCGTCTGGGTGCTGCGATTGCTTTTCCGAGATTGATTTCGGGGGGCTGCGTTGGAAAACGATGTCGTGTGGAGGCGGCGCCCTCTGTCTCCTTTCTCTGCCCCGGAGCGTGTCCCAGATTTCGCGAAAGTTGAGGAATGCCATTATGTTTTTGTGTATTGGGTGTGTTTATGTATGTATGGATGTATAGATGTATGGATGTATGGATGTATGGATGTATGGATGTATGGATGTATGGATGTATGGATGTATAGATGTATAGATGTATGGATGTATGAATGTATAGATGTATGGATTTATAGGTGTATGGATATTCTTTCGGTATGAGTTTTTGCTACGAGTTCTGAACGTTCGGTGAGAGAAGGGTTTTAAGTATAGCTAGCATCAGTTGATGAAAGTAAACTAAAAGGGAGTCAGTCTTTTCTTACTTAGCGTGCACTAAGGAGAAATATCTCATTGAATGTCATCCATCACCAGCGACGGCCCCCACTTCGGGGAAAACGCTAGAGAATAGCCAGAATCTAATCTGCTCTAGGGCCGTCAGAAATACACCATAGCCACTAATATACATTTCTGGATGATACCCGGGCCGCGAAACTTCCAAAGAAAGAGTGCTCCAAACTCCGCTCAATTAACGACATCCATTTCTCGCTTAGCTCTTGTTTACCGTTAATTCTCAGCCGAGCCCGTCGCCTTGGCACTTTTTTTATGTTGGCATCTTCCTTCAAAGCATCCAAGGCGCCGCCCAATTTTGGTAGTTGTATTTCTGTCTCTGCTTTCTTCCTCGAAAGTCTCTGATCTAGGCTCTCGCTTTCCTGAGAAAATAAAACGAGTCGACCAAGACCTCCTCTGAGCTTCTCGCAGAAGAGTTCATCGATTGCGCATCTAAGTACATACATACATACATACACCCACCAATGTTATTGTGATTGATTATTACAGAAGGGCATTAGCGCCACGTCCTAAAAATTACTCTTCAAAGTATTTGTTTTACGACGGATTAGCTTCGGAATGATGTATGTCGATTACGTGAAGAAGCTAGAGTCCACTAGGTAGGGTAGGTACCAGGCTCCAGGGGAGTCACATCATGTCTAGTCCTCGCGTGCGACATTCTCCGATCCCACGTCTAGCCCGTTTTGCCGCTTCGCCGTGCATATCTCCCACTTTTCAGTTTTTCTTACATATTAATCGATTTTCCTATACTCTAGCTTCTGTAGCCGAGAGAGATTCTTGTCTCAATCTCCTTTGGATATGATTTATTCCCCGGATGCCGCTAGCGATTCAGCGGTGAAGTCGCGAGAGGCTTGCTTGTACAGTAGTTGGGACGTTCGAAGTATCCGGCAGCTCGTTAGCGGGCCGGTCGAGGATGTGGTGGCCTTTAGAAGGGCGCTACCTAGACTAGCTAGTGTGTATATAGTTGTTGGCCTCTCTCCTCTCTTCAATCAACAGCCTTTTACCCCAACAGCCCTTTTACCCCTTGAGTTAGTTCATCCAGCTATATTCGTCCGCCTTCTCGATTCGATCCTCATCATTGACATTTCTCAAGTGTGTTCATGAAAGCTTAATGCTTGGTGCTGTTCGTAGGAAGGCGTCGATCGTTGATTCGCTGTATTGAAGAGTGTGAATTTGTGCGATTGCTAGAAAATGAGTGGAGAGGACTTTGAGCAGTTGAACAGATTTTATATACGGGAATAGGTTGGAGGGAGGTAAAGATATCAAGTAAGCCATATGGTCAGCATATACCGCGTTGATGATGCCATGGACAGGCTATATAGCCTGATACTTATATTCTCTGGTACCTTTCAATGACAGGTAACTTGTCGTGACGTTCAGGTTGAGCATGGTCACTTGATTTGAACACCAGAACCCCTTGTTGCCTCCCAAATACGATAGAAAATAAGCTAGGAAATGTAAGAGAGCACCTACGGTCTTAATCTTGACCATATCACTTCTAGTACTCTGTATATGTAGGGTCTTTCGATCGCTGAGCGCCCACGAAAATGCGATGGCACGCCCGGATTTTTCTCCACTCCAGCCATTTGGAGAGTACTGAAGGCCTTGGTGGACGAAAGTGCGTGGAGGCGGGTGAACTGCTTCAATCAAATTAAAATCCTGCAACGGAGTAAGCCTGCTACTACATACTGACCCCATAGAACAGGCATCTGTTGTCTCTTCCCTCACATGGTATACCTAAAGTACGGATTCCTCAGGTCCGTCACATCCTGCTCTCCCAACTCTCTCCCCAGCCTCTCCTGCTTCTCCTTTGTGATGCCGCTCTCAGCCGCCACTCTATCTCGTTTACTATTCTGCCACATGTACCAGCCTCTCCACGCCACGATACATACAAACTCCAACCCCAAGCAGACACTGGCGCCGATCGTGCCTGGCACATACTGAGGCGCATCCTTGGTCTTGAAGATCTGGCTACCGACCATATTACCTACGCAGTATCCCAGGAAGGTTGCAGAAGAGATGATGGTCTTCTTTGTGCGGCCCGCGACGTTGGATGGGATGAGCGTCCATGCCAGGAAGAGAGAGAGGACCGTGGGGACAGTCATGAGAAACAGACCCCATTTCGTCCATTTCAGGGACGGGTCTTGAGGGAGGAGGGAGAGCGCGAGGAGGCCGACGAACGGCGGGATGGTGGCGGCGGCCATAATCCACATGCGGCGGTTGGCGACTTGGCGAGTGTAGAAGCCGACGATTACGAAGAGAATCAGGGACATTACTGAGCGGGGGATACCAACGAGCAGGACCTGGAGTTGGGTGAATCCGAAGGACTTGTACAATAGAGATCCGAACGTAGTGATCCCACTGCATTCTCGTTAGCTGTGAACACTGGGCGTGATAAGTAAGAGTGTTGGGGGGAAAAGACATACCCGTTTGGAACCGAGCTCAGGAAGGCGTTGAAGGTCGAAAACCAGAGCACGGGATCCATGAAGGCCTCTGTGACTTGTGCCCAATTCCACTCCTTACCTGTAACGTCGCGCCCAGCTTTGTTGCTCAAGATTCTCGCCGCACTGTCACTGCCATCAGCCCAACAACTCGAAAAGATTCGGAGGAGCAAGAGATACGCACGCCATCCGCTTCTCCTCCTTACTCAACCACCTTACCTCCTTCGGCGACCCCAGAATCACAAAACACGTCAGCGCGGCCACGATAGTCGACGCGCCCAGGAATAAGCTTATGCACCTCCACGCCGCTATGCTGCCGGGATATCTCTCCGCATGGGTACCAATACCGTACATGACTAGATCGGCGATGATACCGAACCCAGCATTGGCGGACTGGAAGAAGAGGGAGCGCGAGGAGTGCTCGTCTCGCTTGTACCAAGTGCCGATGACGAGAATGAAGCCGGGGGAGATGGTGCACTCGAAGAAGCCTTGCATGGCGCGCAGAACCATGAGATGGATCCAATTCTGGGCGGCGGCAATGGAGATGACGACGATGCCCCAGCACAGCATGTAGATGCTGAGGCAGCGGCCGAGGGCCCAGCGCTGAAGGAGAAAGTTGGATGGAAATTCGCCGCAGAGGTAGGAGAGGTAGAAGCTATGAACCATTAGCCTCGGGGATAGATAGGCAAGTCTAACTGCTGTATATGAGAGCGAGTGTTACATCGTAGTGAGCCATTGATACTGCTGTCCGACCAAGTCCGTGTCTTCTCTCAAACCAAACAGTGCTTGTGTTCCGAGGGAAGTCTTGTCCGTCTGCTGGATTCCGTAGCAGCACCACCTGCATTTTGTCAGCAACCGTTTCCTCAGTGTATTCTATAATCTCGAGAAAAAAGCAGCAGGAGAGACGTACATAAGCGGGAGCAGGAACTTGTCAACCTTTCTCAACAACTTCTTATATTGCTCTGGGGTGTAATCTTCGACTCGAGTCAGCGCCTGCAACTAGGCGGCTGGACGATGATAGCTTACCCGACTCTCTTAGCTCCACTTCATCCCCTTCCTCAAAGTAGACAGAAACCTCGGTATCTACCTCCGTGGAAATAGAACCTTCCCTATTCTTTTCGTTGATGGATTGCGGGTATCTCTCGCCCGGCGACGGGGACTTCAACTCAATCGCCTCCTCCGCAACATGATGCTCCGTAGAAGCCATTGCAAGAAAGGACCCGAACAACCCCAGGAAGCAGAAGCAGAAGCAGAAGCAGAAGTACGGCAAGAAGCAAGCAAGCAAGCAGAGTGCAGAGTATAGAGCCAAGGTACCGTGTCACTCCAATCCTTCCGGTCCAGGGGATTATCCATTCATTATATGCACCGTTGCAGCGGCCCATCGTTATCACATCAAGCCCGAGATAAGCTCCCCTTCATCCCCGCTGACGAGAGATATGGAGATATTCTTCTGTACTATAGGTGGGTTGGCCGATGCAGTTCGGTCAAGACACGACAAGGAAGTCTTGGGAGGCCAAGGCAGGATAAGAGAAAGAGATCTTCTGCGTTAAGAGCCAGAGCGGGCGCTACATGCATGAGGTGGCGAGGAGGGGCAACCAGTAAACAGTAAACTTGCATAGAAACAAAAAGATGGTGTTTTCTTGATATGGCGGAGATCAATCAATATCATCTCGGCAGTTCACCCTTAACCCCATTCTTGGGGCGGGAATCCCGACAGAGGCCCCCCGATTGAAGAAAGACAGGACTGGACTCTTCTGCTGGCAATACTCGATGAGAAACTCTGACAGATGAAAAGGAAGATGCAATGAAATGCAACGCGAGCGTACCATCTCGGCTCGGAAAATGAGTCAGGTATCCGCTTGCCACAAGTTACTTCTATTAGTACAGTATCTTCAGCCGCAATGCGGTTCATGACAGGTCGTTTTTCGCTTCATCCCATCCATCAACCCTACTCCTGAACACCATGGTATCCTAGCGGCACTTATAATACACCCGCTCCGTCCTCTCGCAAATCGCTTCAGGATCCATTAGACACTTGGCTTACACCTATCCTCGCATTTACCTTGTCTCGGTGCTGGCGATTTCTCAAGTGAACCTCGAAGTTACCAACTGTTCTCTCCGGACCGGGTGTGTACAGCTTTCCGGGGCAGTCGTTGCACCTTATCCGTGGTAGAAACATATACTTTACCCCGTCAGAGCTTTGGCCTGGCTGCGGGGCTGCAGTAGGTAGCTCAGTAACCTTGTTGACCGCAGTGTATTTCATAACGCCTTCAAATCGGTCATTAGGATATACCTTTAGAAGATCCCTGAGACCAGCCGTAAGCCATGCCGGAGCAGGCTGGTTGTTGTTAGCAAACGTCGCTGGCATCAATGTGTAGGAAATATAAGCCAAGTGTCCTCGAAACTTTTCGAGCTCCAACGCGATCTCTTCGAAATCAAGTCGCACGCAAAATATCGATAAGAATTACTTACTGGTGAGGGTGGATTTTGCCCTCCCACGGGGGGTGGTGCATCGACTCGACCTATTTGCCCCATTGGTCCCGGAGTCGTTGACGGTGGTATAGGTTGGCTCTGGGCATTTGGAGTTGAAGGCGGCGGACCCATTGAGCCAGGTCGTGGAGCTGCACTTGGGCCAGGAGTAGACATGGCACGCTGAACAGCCTCTGGTTGTTGCGAGGTCGCTGAACGACCAGCTTTCACTGCCCGATCGAACTTCTTCATCCTCTCTTTTCCAAGCTTCAACTTCACAATCAGCGTAAGTGGCTCGCTTTCATCACGAGCATCACGGCCAACCAATCTTCGAGCAGAGGTTCTCGTTTCGTGATGGTGTACAGCTGCTTCAGGAGTTTCGGACCTTCCTAAGTTGGCCATGCGTTGCTGCGCAGCGGTAGCAGCTCCTCGCATATGCCTCGTCCTCGCTGTTCCTTGTTGCAATGCCAGAGCTGGGGAGTCAGGATTCGAATCTTCCTCGTCAGATGATTCCGAAAGGTCGCCCTCTCGGCCCGGACGCTTGGATCTCCCAGCCCCAGTAACATGTTTGTACAGCCGGCTTTCCTCGACTGTGTCGGCGCATCCAGGAATGACTGATGAGACCACCATTGTCCGTACTGTCCTTTGCCTGTCCTTTAAATCTGGTAGTGTGGGGCCTCCTCTTCTGTTTATAGACCGTTTCTGCCTCCTTTGCTCTCTCGACCAAATTATCTCTCCGCGTTCTAACTCCTGTTCTGTCGTCTCGTATAAGTACGGCAGGTAGTCTTTCGCGATCTGCTGGGGACGGAATACGGATGTCAACGGGGAAGGAAGAAACGCAGCAATCAAGTCAGCGTCTTCTACTGGGCGCCCGTCGAACGGATATCCAACCATAAACAGACTTCGTATAAACAATTGACACTGTTCCCGTATGGAATGTGCAATGGCGGTCGTAAATTCTCCCGATAGAGCCAAATCACGGGCTATACACTGCGCAAACTCTTCCGGCGATGTCAAGGTGTTGTTGATGTCCCATTCAAACTTGTCCTCTAAAGTATGCGGTCCGATGGTGATGTTAAGCTTGATGAGAATCCGCAATTCCTCGTTCTTGTATGCCGAGTATGGAAGGTCAGACATCAGTGGCTCTTGGGGCGGATCAGTGATCGGGTGGAAATCGTTGAGCTGTTCGCGCAGCTGGGTGGTAATTTGTTCAACAACTGGAGCAGCGGCCGGACCCGTCAATCCAAAGTCCTCGGCCAGGCCAGTCGCAAAGATCTGAATGTCTGTAATCCGATCATGGTAATTCCAAGTAAAGGTATCTCGTAGCTTGAGTTTGTCCCAGTCGATTTCTAACCGCACAGGCATCAGGCATTCCTCCTGCTCTGCCTGTATAGCGACGTCTTTGCGCTTCTGGCGCATCTTGGGCGTCTTCCTGTGACCCAGCCTAGGCTTGTTGTGGGGGTACAGAATCCGCGGAGGCCCGTCTGTTGTCCCGTTGCCATAGCCAGCGTAGCCCGGGCCGTATAGTCGACTTGGGGGAAAGTACGGCCGGTACGTGTTGGCAACATTGTAGTAGTCCTCCTTCTGGGCCAGCAGGGTCTTGGTAATGTGGGCGGTGCGACTCGTCGGGCCATGGTCGTCGAGGATCGCATCGGAGTCTAGAAGCTGCTTGTGCAGATAATCCTCGAGGAGGATCTGGTCGAATTCCGCCTTGGTACGTCCTTGTCCTCTCCCTCGATGGGCTAGAGAAGGGGCTGGGGCGTCTGCGGCATCATGGACTGGTAGAGGCGCCTGGTGGGGGTCTGGAGCCATTGCGAAGGCATTCGCGACAGACCGGCGACGCTGCGGAGAGGAGGTAGGGCAGGCCTGGAGGGTTTAATGTTGGATGTATTGATGTCGGCGCGTACCTCAACCTCCCTGTCAAGCAGATTCGCGTTAGATTTGGATCTTTTGATATCGAGGCTGACTAATCGAAGTTTTCAAAAGCTTGGCCATCCTCCCGTAACAACACAAGCGAATTTCGGACATCCCATCCCACTCACCCACATTGACTTGCCCCTTTACCCAGCCCATCACCTCTTTCACTCTTTCCACTCCTTCACAACCTCTTCTGCGAATCCGAATAACTTTCTTGCAATTTCCGTCAACATGGCCGAGAAGAAGGAAATCGAGGAGATCGGTAAGTACTCAATTGAATCGCTGCACATCCCCAAGCCCAAGTGAGGGGCCATGATGACCCCGCTATCTGCTTCCCAAGTTTGCAGGCTTTGCACGACGACGAGGTCGAGAGGTGCCAGCAGAGACTATACTGACACTCGAGCACATAGACTACACTCTCGCCAACCCCGATACCCTTACCAAATACAAGAATGCCGCGCAAATCTCTCAGAAGGTTCTGGAGGCCGTTGCCGCGCTTTGCGTTGCTGGTGAGAAAATTGTAACCATCTGCGAGAAGGGAGACAAGCTGTTGGACGAGGAGATTGAGAAGGTCTACCGTGGAAAGAAGATCGTCAAGGGTAAAGCTGACGTTCCTATGTTTTGCTTGTTCTGCTCTAACAGCTACAGGTATTTCCCATCCCACCACCGTCTCTCCGTCGTCCTTCGTCACCCCATACACCCCACTTAAGTCCGACGAGGCCGAAGCTGCTGTCGAGCTCAAAGAAGGAGAGGCGGTCAAGATCCAGTTGGGTGCGCAAATCGACGGCTTCGGTACTATTGTCTGCGATACCATTATCGTTGGCAAGAGCGAAGTTGAGGGTCGAGACGCTGATCTTCTCCTGGCTACACACTACGCAAACGAGCTCCTGCTGCGTTTGATGGTCCCACCGGGACTTCTCGCTACCGGTACTGACGAGGAGAAGGCTAAGGCTGCCAAGGTCAAGGCCCCAACCCAGAGCAAGATTACCAGTCTATTAGAGAAAGTTGTCAAAAGCTACGACTGCAACTTGGTCGAGCACACTACCAGCTGGGAGTTTGAGCGAAATGAGATTGAGGGCAAGAAGAAGATCATTCTTGCTCCAGGTGACGGAACTAAGGGGGAGGGAGTCCCGGAGGTGGGCGATGTTTGGGGAGTTGAGATGGGCGTCAGTACCGGCACTGGAAAGATCAAGAACTTTGAGAACAGAACGACTCTTCACAGACGTACAACCCTCACATACGCTTTGAAGAGACCTAGTTCCAAAAAAGTTCTGAACGAGGTTGTCAAGAGATTTGGTGTTTTCCCATTCAGTTTGAGACAGCTAGAGGATGAGAGAGACGCTAAGGTTGGTGTTGTTGAGTGTGTACGTGGAAACGTTCTTCGCGCATACGAGGTCGCAGGAGACAAGGATGGTGCCTCTGTTGGTCGTCTTTTGACCACTATTGGTGAGTGCTCTCCCTTTTGCTTCCTGGGCTGGACTCGAGCGGCCGCTGTTTGGGCGCGCTCACTGCTCGGAAGTATTCTAGTCCATAGCGATGCCATATGCTGACTTCCCTCAGCCATCACCAAGAATGGTCTCCAAAAGCTCGCCGCTCCTCCCACCCCAGACCTCACCAAGTGGAAGTCCGACAAGAAGATTACCGACGAGGAGGTCCTCAAGATCCTTGAGCAACCGCTCGCTAAGGAGTCCAAGCCTAAGAACAAGAATAAGAAGAAGAAGCCAGCCAAGAAGGCCGCGGCTGCTGCTGCCCCCGATGATGATGACGAGAGCTCTGACGAGGAGTAGAGCCGCTGACGGCCTCGTTGATGATGCCATGAATTCCCATGATTTGATGGCCACATGGCTCTCCTGGATGGTGGGAAAGGGGTGATTATCCATGTTATGGCCACCTCTGTCTACATTGCAATTTTTTCTTTGCAGTGGACACCTCGCTAGGTTATGCCAAGGAATCAATGCGAGTATTCAGCAATACTCCTGATGTGGTCTATGACAACTTTGCATATCCACCGGTAGACATCAATTCTGTGATTTCCGCACCCAGCACAGCCAATCTATCTTGGCCCAGTCAGCCCCAGCCTTGCACAGCCGAATGTGATCATGTGCTTACTTAATTATACCCAATCCTTGCTCGAGTGGCCACTCAATGGCGGCCCGGTCACTGTTCTACCTATTCCATAGTGTAACGTCAACTCATACCCGGTGCAGTTGGCAGTTGGTTTTTAGGTATGAAGCATCATGTCCTAACACAGCACAGTCGCACTCACTCAAAGCCACATGCAGATCTGGCCTGGGCAGTGAGAATAACTTATTCTCCCATCCATCAGCAGCTAGACTATTGTGTTGTATCTGTCCGAGCCATACTCCGTATTCATTACATGATATGACATGGCATCCGTAATCCATTAAGCAGCAAATGAAGCCGGCCCGGGATGTTAGATCATATGAAATCAGACCCGCGCTCTTTCTTCCTCTCTCCCTTTCTCTCTCCTCTCTTTTTGTTTTTGGGGGCAATTGCAGAGCTGAGGGAGGGGGAGGGTCAGGATCAGGGTCAGGGCTCTCTCTCTCTTTAGATATATTTCATTGGATTCTAAAGCTTCAACGTGTTCTTCATGTTGCCCTTTTTGGGGGGGAGCGAACCGAGATGCTAGAGGGGAGGGCTTCTTGATTTTCCGTCAGGTGATTTGATTTGAGGATTTTGAGGATTCTGATTACTTACGACAGCAAGTTAGCAAATTTTCAAAAATACTCAGGCAACCGACGAGTAGCCTGCCGTCTAGGCTGGCTGGCTCTTGACACTGGTCAGAAACATCGTGGCGATTTCTTGTGAGCTGAACCATACCGGCAACAGGATTATCGAGGGTGGTTGCGTTCAGCTTCAGAGCAAGCGGTGACTCGGCATCTTCTTTTTATATCTTCCTTTCCTTTGTTTTCCTTTCCATCTTTTCAAACTTAAAGATCGGATGGGATAGGCGCGTGAAGCCGCGTCATTCATATGATCGAATGTATATATATGAGCATTCGATCATCATCATCATCTGCTTCAACTTCCTGGTATGAGATGAGCAAGGATTCTCTAGAACCTCGCAAGTCGACGAACTTCATTCCGTGTAGAACTGGTTTCGGCGGCAAAGGTGGCATTGATGATTGTGATCCATTCGCATGCTCCTACGCAAGACTGGTGTGGTGGTCTCAGCCTCTCAAGAGCGGGCGTCATTAGATGGAAGGTACTGCCTGGCTCGAACGGATATCGCGCATGCCAGTACGGTACATACCAAATCAACGGACTGGGCGACTCGACACATGCCAGTTCTTGAACCAGCCGTTTTGACCAGCTTGCTGGAGATGATGGCGACGGGGCGAGAGTTGGGGGCACGAACGGCAGGGTTTGGAGTGCAGGGAGTTTTGAATTGTCGTTTTGAGGCCCGTGAGCTGGGCTCGTGGAAGAACGAAGATGTGACCACCTTGGTACATCGAATCTCCTTGACTTTGAGATGAAATCTGTCGCAGTCGATGGGTTGAGGTTTGGCGTTCGGGGATGTGAATTGGTGCGATTTCGAAAGCTGAGTTGAAGCCTGCTGGTTCCGAAGCTTCGTAAACAGCCGGGGCTGTGAACCGTGGAACTTCGAATACAGGAAAAGATGTGTAGGGTGGAAAGTTTTGGGGGAAGAGTGATAGTCAAGTTGGGGGCCAATGAGACGACAGTGAAAAGATCCAACTTCGTCAGAGATGAATAGACCACATGTAGTTCTTGATTGGAATGAAGTGGAGTAAAGTGGAGTGGAGTTGAAGAACACGAAGCAGAGTCGCCGACTCAGAATATGGAACCTTCCAAGATCCCAGATTTACCAAATGTGATGTGGACATTGCCTCTTGTAGATACCTCCGTAGCTAAAACGCGGAAGGGCAAGCATGATGAAGGAACGAGAAGATTGATCTCAGTGAGTTATGGAGAAGTCTCGTCAGTAGGGTGACTTCGAAGAGATATCCATTGTTTTGGAGCAAAAAGAAACAGTAGAGTGAGCACACAGCTGAGAAACTGGCAGGCAGTGGGCGTCCTAGATCTGAGATTCCGTCCTTTGGTAGGGGAGAGAAGTACGGGACACCTAATCTCAGCCTGGGTCTTCGTTCTCCAATGTTTAGATAGACAGAATCGGAATACCTGTTGGAATTAGCATGACGAAAGCTTGGGAAAGGGCGCTGAAGAGATGTCTTTCTGCTCAACACCAAGGAGTGAGATGTGATCCGATGTGGGTGGGAGGGCAGAGAGGTAGGGGTAGGAGGAGGAGGAGGAGCCGGTATGATCATGTCGCAAGTCCACACAGCAGAATCCCGAGCTCGAGTATAAGATCTGGTCGGCATTCTTGAATCGTGATCTTGTCACTTCACTCACTCCAACCCAACCGTCCAGAATTGCCGGCGGATTCGTGATTCGTGAGCTGAGAAGGCATAGCCTAGCCTGACCTTGGTGGCGGTGGCATCGAAGCACAAAGAAAGGAACCGATGCTGTGGCTGCTCTTTCATTATTAGCCGAAGATCGCCTCCTGAATGGATGTGGGTATCACGAAGGCCTTGCAGAAGGATGATTATGGCATGAGCGGATCACGCATCTACAGATCTCGACGTCGTGAGCCTCGCGAAGCAGCCGTCTGGTGGTTGTGCTGGGCGAGGGCGCTGTCAACATTGCCCTTCTTCTCGGATTGAAGGTTGGACCCACATAAAATCTCTCGGCGTGTTTACTTTGCCCCTTGGATCCGGACCCGCAATAGAACGAGCAAGCGTGAATAGCCTCGACCTGTGGGAAATTTTTGACTTGACAAAGAAACCTGACTGCCTCCTCAAGAACAATGGGACTCTGATAACCGAGGTCTCTGAGATTTCCTTGGTAAGAGAGAGAAATTGGATACAAGATTGTTAGGGTGCGGGTGTAGGTGCAATGGTTTTCAGTAGCGAAACGATCTCCTTGGCCTGAGAGGAATGATTCGATGTATTTGTTTATTGTCGATAATAATGCGGCGGTCCATATAAGGCAATTGTTACAGTAAGATAGATGAAACTCGAGTAATTCACCTCGCACGGGTTCTACGGTATTATACATTCATTCATTATATAAAAGGGGGGGCTGGATCCTGCGCCCACGTCCTTACCGGCAGACCAAATTCAGACCTTAGACCAGACAACAACTCTCTCATGTCAACAAGACAAGATCTATCGCCGCCGAATCGCCTTTCGAGAGCATCTTTGCGGTATACATCAACTCAAGAATAGACAATAGACAATAGACAACAGACAATAGGGCTGTGCGGATCCTCAAGCGATTGTGTGTGTTTCCATGTCATTGTCACTCGGTTAGGCTCTCACGCTATTATAGCTGCTAGTTAGGTAGGTAGGTAGTTACTAATCGACTGGTATTGTGTTATAGCCAGCCCCTTTTCGCCCTTCGTCCTGACCTCTCGCCTCGCCTACCAGTAGCCTCGCCTCGCCTCGCCTCTCGTATCCCAATTCCTCGTCGAGCTCTTCCTTCCCACAACACACCACACCACAACAGAACAGAACACCACCAACTATACCACACAAACGCACCACCACACCATATCTGATCAACAGAACGACGGGTCTATCGGACAACGCACATTCTGAGATTCCTCAGAGATCAGACTTCTCAGATCAGATTCCTCAGATCAGATTCCAGATTCCAGATTCCAAATTTCAGATTCCAGATTCCAGATTTCAGATTCCTGACAGCTCTCTCAAGAGGATTTATTCGTTGCCCCCAGGCAAAAGTTGCCTATCAGATCCGGTACGTCCCAAAGGTGAAGTGAATTTGTGGCGGATGATTGATTTGTTGGAGTGCCATAAGTGCGCTAACCACATATGGATTAGCAGTCTTCGCTAACGACATAGGGGAAACTTGCAACTTCTCAAATAATCAACTCCAACTCGAGCGCATCACCCACCACCGGATCACGACAAAGCCAGCTTTGTATGCGGCCGAACCGCTGCAGAGAAAGGTATGTACCTCGCCATCGGTGTATGCAACCCTCGAGCTGACTTGATCGTCCATAGCTGTCAACTGCACCCCCAGGCGGGCGATCGCGAAATTACATTGGGCTGCGACCCAACAATAATAACAACAACAACAAACATGTCGGCCTCAAAGAGAGGCTCCCGCTCCCGCATCTCGAGTCCATGTGCGCCAGTGCAATCCGTTGAGAGTGGGGAATCTGCCGCCGGCAAACCAAAGACGATGTTGCAGAACTGGGTGGCCGGGGCCGCGAACTCGAAGATCACCGTGGGAGAGGCTCCTGCAGCTCCCAAGAGCTCATGGAGCGAGCCAGCGCCAGCGCCTGCGAGAGCTTCATATGTTGAAGCTGGAATAATTAGGCACTCGATTGTCTCGAACATGATGCCACTCGGGGTCGGGCCGCCGGCAAAGGTCCTCAAGGCGTTGGCAAAGGGTGAAAGTGAACGGTCCAGAAGTTTGGTCAACTCCCTGGTCTCGACACCCGATCCTGCCCAAGAAACTGCGACACCAGAAGAAGTCTCGGAGGATGCACCGGCAGAGTCAGTCGACTCGGTAGAGCCAGTAGGGGAGGAGCCGGTATCATCGGCAGAAATCGCAGAGCCGGTGGCGTCAATTGAGGTAGCCGAAGTTGAACTCCCACCACAGACATCCCTCCCATCGAACAATTCAAGGAATGTCGGCGACGGTATTGAACCTATTTCGACGACTCCTCAACATTCTACAAGTGTGCAAAAGAGTCTCTCGGTGTCGCAGCCAAGTGTTAGCCCTCAGAGTGCCGCCGGTCAGTCGGTTCTCGCGCTACGATCGCCAATTATTGGACCTCAGGAGGAGCGCCTTGAAAAACCCAGCCGTAGGTACCCACGATATCTCTCTGAGACGCCAGAACCACCGCTTGGCCCTGACGGTCTTGCTGTAATTAATCTGCCTTTCACAGACGGTGTCGTCGAGGCGGCCGTTCAGGAGGCTCTGGACTGTGACGACTGGCCCACTGCCTACGCTTTACGCCTTTTGTGGGATGAACATCGTACAGATCCTGATATGGTGAGAATGTTTGACGCTGTTTACAATGGATGGCACAACAAGGAGCAGATGAAGAAATTCCAAAAGGTGGTACGGCGGAAGAAGAGGGAGGGAAAGAAAGGTGGTCGTGCTGATGAGTATTTCAATGGGTATGTAATCTGACAATTTTTTACGATTCGCATTCCCGACAATCTACTGACAAGTTTCCCAGTGACGGCTCCGAATCAAAACCAACACCAAAGTCTACCATCTACAACGCCATCAACCTCGTCAACCCCCCAGCTCCTGTTTACCAAACACCCTACATACGAAAAAGCCGGGAGCCGAGCGAAGCCGCCCCAGCAAGAAGTTCATCACTCGCCCATAGTCTCTCATCCACACCCGCAAATCTCTCGCCTGCACCTCCCGCCATGTCCGTCGTCGCCTCTCCTAAAAATAGAGACGAGCATGTTAGCAAGAAGCAACGAAGCAACAGCTTCCAGCCTGCAAGCGCCGAGTTGAACGGCTTTGCAGCTAGGAGTGGCGCAGATGACGTGACTATGAGCGAGAAGGGCGAGGAGCGCCAGAAGCCAGAAGGCGGTGCCCGTCCCATCCTCGAGAACGGTGTCGCTCGTGATCCAAAGACCTTGTCTCGCGCGCAACGATCACGTTCCAACTCGAGCAGCTCTTCTTTGTCTTCGGTCAACGAAGAGCTTATACTGAACTCAACAATCATTTCGCCACCGCGTCCCGTCCCTCCGCCCGGCCCGATGTTGCCTCTTGCACCTCATAGCCTGGGAATGGCCCGATTCGGTGTATTCGCTCAACTCTTCCAGCAGCCAAAGCAGAGGGTAAGCCCATATGCAAGCACCACCAGCTTTCAAGAGGCAGCGCTGGAAGCAGATGCACAGGCCCGCAACGCCACACGACTAACCCCGGCGCCAGCCAAGGGCCCTAAGACTTTCACTTTCTCCACGGGCAAAGCATCCCCTGCCCCTGCCCCTGCACCATCTGTTTCTGCTTCTGCCCGTCCTCGCTCCGCCGACTCTCAAGCCTCGACAGTCGCTCCCAAAGAACCTGCCGATCCGCAACCAATTATGGCTCCAGTCGTGGTTGTGAACAACCCATCATCATCAACATCATCGTCCAAGAAACCCTCTAAGACAACCAAAAAGCTACCAGCTACCTTCAAGATCAAGAATGCAAAGAAGTCCATCTGCCCAGAGGAAGAGGACGATGTCTCCAATTGCATGAAGCGGAAAGCGAAGGAAATCACCGGAGAGACCTCGACAGCTGAGAGCTTCGAGCGCCACCAGGTAGAGGTTGTTGCAGGTGATGAGATGGAATGGGTTTCGGACGGCGGCGATTCCACTGCTGTCAGGGCGGCGAAGAAGTTAAAGAAAGCCCCAAAAGTGCGCCTCCTGCATAACAGCAGAGAAACCCGGCAGAACTCGCGATATGTCTCTGAAGAAGGCAGCTCCCCGACTGAACTCGCGTTCAAACCCCCTTTCCCTCCAGGAGGATCGGGTCCTTCGTCGCGCGCTGGTACCCCGAACCCCGCCACCCGCCAGTCGAAGAAGCCCAAGATAGGCACAGGTCTGCGTGTCAAGATATCGTAAGTCATCATTCCCTACACTGCCCCATCACTCGAAGCATCTTGGTATCTAGATCACCATGCTTTGTAATTATCTGCACTGCTCCCTTCTCTCTTGCTGCATGAAAAGGGTTGTGATTGCTGTCGCACAATGCGACCGGCCCTCGCAGTTCAGTTCTACAGCTCTGTACCCCAAATACAAAAATCACAGTCCTATCAGCAGAAACCATGCTAACGCGCAAATGCATCCACAGGCCAGTTAAGAAGAACAAAGGCACTCTGGCCGGTATCCCCAAGGATTTGCGCAGCCCGACCGGTAATGGTGGCACTGTTGCTCAGGTACGCTCCAATTCCCTCCTTCGTCCGTCCGCACTGCCCCTGAATCAAACCCTCGTGAACTTCATCCACCCACTCTATGGGTGATTCCGAACTGGTGCGTTTTCGCATCGAAGGATCAAAATTTTGATTTCTTGGGGCTGCTGTGACCTGCCAGAAATGCAAACGCCCGAGCGGCAATTTCTGCATTCCGCCCTTACCGAAACCCCCACATCCAGTCCAGTCCCGCCACTTGTTTCTATCTCCGCTCGTGCCCTTCCACCCCACATTCGAATTTCGAATAAGACCTCCCAAGCTGACCCATGATACAGGACGGCGAAAACGACGAATTCTGCTCGGCATGCGGAGGGTGCGGCGGCCTGGTCTGCTGCGATGGTTGCACTCGATCATTCCACTCCAATTGTATCGATCCTCCGCTGTCTGATGACGCTGTGGATAAATCACCAGATTGGTTCTGCAACGCCTGTGAATACAAGAAACACGGTCCGTACGAGGAGGTTGGTGGGATCTGGGGACCCCTGATCGCCGATTTCGCGGATACAAACCCGAGATCGTTCCATCTTCCACAGTCAATTCGCGAGTATTTCGTCGATGTCAAGACTGGCCCCGCGGGAGAATATGAGGAGATTATCCCCCCCAAGCCAAAGTAAGCCAAGCTGCGCCTGATTTGATGCGACCGTATTGACTCTTGGATAGGAACACGAAAGCTGGCTGGGAGGAAGCTCCTGATTACTACAGAAAGAAGGATAAGAACGGCAAGATCATCCTCTGCCATCAATGTAATGGTGAGGCATCTCCTCCAGACCGCATGATTGTCCCTTGCACGTACTGTCATCTTACCTGGCACTTGGACTGTCTCCCAATCCCCCTTGCAAAGGAGCCCGGTCATGGTAGACAATGGCGATGCCCAGCCCACATTGATGATCTCCTGGTACTCATCCCGGAGATCATGGCGCCGGCACACCGTTTCCGCAAGATCAAGGGCGCTCCGGTCATCAAGCCGGCTTTCCCTCGCGGAAATAAGAACAGTGGTCACATTGAGATCGAGAATGATCCGAGCGAGGATGAGGCAGTGGAAGGATTCTACGATGTAAAAGAGTTTGGTCGTGTGTATAAACTCCCAGAGAAGAGCATCAAGCTGGACTTCATCACAAGGTAAGTGACCTATTCGCCTTCTATTCGAGACATTCAATCTAACATTCCAATAGGGTCAAGCAAACGCGCGGCGCGAGCCTGCAATCGCTGCGATCTCCCCGCTCCAAACCTGCCAAAGCGTCGCACCAGCCTCTTCAATCCGCACCTGGCTTCGAGCCAGCCTGGAACCAGCGTACGATAGAGGAGCAACAGACCGCACTTAACCTCCTATCAATCCACAGTCAAAGCCACGACGCCGCCCGAGGCGACGACACGCAGCTCTTGATCAACACTCTATTGGTGAGTTTCATCCCCCGCGTGCCGCCACGTAACTCGTGTCAGATCCAGATCAAATGGGACTAACGACTCTTGTTTTCTAGGCCGAAGCTCCACCCGCCGTTATATCCCTGATGGCCCAAGGCACCACGGACGGACTTGCTGCGCGCAAGCTCGAGAAGAAGCAGAAGACGAGCATTACGGCCATGTTCGAGTTCTTGAAGCAAATGCTCGATGACGCCGTGAGCACCGACGAAGAGGAGCCACCTGCCAAGGCGAAAGCGACGGTTACTGTTCAGGACCAGGAGACTGAGATGGAACTCTGATCGCATCATATCCTTCCTTTCGTTGAGGCCACGCATCTGTTACAGATCCCGCCAAGCCTTGGCAGGGCGTAAAATTTACACCTGACTCGGCATCTTTCCCACTGTATTTTTGCTCAGCCCATTTTGCTGGGCTCGAGATTGAGCACTCATCCAAGCCCGAATGCTGTTGCCAGTCTTTACCTAATTTGCCTATATTTGAAGGGGGGGCGGCCTTTGGTGGTCACGGGGTTGGGTTGAGTGTACAAGGCGTTTTGTTGTATTATATCACGGATCGATTTTTCCTACTTTTGCACGTGGATGGCTGGAGTCACAGGCGTCAGCGAGGCGTCACTGGATACATTACAAACGGCTTTGGTGCTGTCTCTGTTCTGTGGGCGAATAGATGCTAGAGAGGGCGAGCGAGAATGAGCTTGAGACGGGGGAGCGGCAAGGCACAGCGGCTTGCTTTTACGTGGATATGGTGGATGAAATATACTCACTCCATCAAAGTGGGCAGCGGTGGTTGGGCTGGCATAAGATGAGAATAGACAGATAGCTACGACTGGCTAGTGTGGGTTCGACTGGCCTGCTCTGAGCTGTATGAGCGGAATGAATTGAGAAATTATGAAAGTAAAACTTGGCTGCTATGCTCTCGCAATGGCTGTTGTGAGTTGAAGGGATGTGATTCCTGGAATCGGAACTTTGTGGACTTTAGGGATCAAGTTTGGCCATTGGCCAAATTCGGGGGATGGGGAGATGAGAAGTTGAAGATACCTCCTATGCCCATGGATCGTACGAAATGGGCCGAGGTGTCATGCATGGCCTAGAGAGCGATAGGTATTCGAATGGAATGCCGATGAGATGAAAGAAAATGCCCTGCTCAGTCGGTCAATCGATCAGTCAGTCAGTCAGCACCGTACAAGATGATGCCCTCACCCACTTTCTTTTTCATCGTGCGACGACGCATCTGCATGCTGAAGGTGTGCCGTTCCCTCGATGGGAAAAGTCGGGTGCACATGCCGGCACCTGGATTTCGATCCTCCCCGATAAAGGTGCTTATGTCAACAAGATGCGAAAAAGGAAAAGAAGAAGGAGGAGGAGGAGGAGGAGGAGGAGGAGGAGGAGG